GTGTAGCCCCTTGGAGGGTTTCTTTCGAGACTCTTCATGGTTGGGAACTCTGTGGTGGTGTAACACCAACCTGGACCTTGGCTCTTGGGGTATGTAGAGGCTGGGAACCATCTCCATCTCGATCTCTTCTTGCTAAGTTTGTACTCCTAAGACTAAAGTGGTTACTGTACCTCTTGCCAGTCAAACCGCCATAGCGTCGTCAAATCTTCATGTAATTTTATGATTCAACTTGCTGCTGATAGGCGACAGCAACGCGCTTCAGATCCAATTTACAGATCACCGTTTGAGGCACATATCAGATGGGCATTAACATTTGAAGCTGTCTGACGGAATTCTGACTGTGCACAATTTCTTTCATTTTAGGCACATCTGAGCCTATTGTGATTATTAAAAGCATTTCATGACATGGAACCGATTAGTTCCGCCTAGCATTCTCTGTATGCTGACGCTTCTAGTGTGTCCGGAACTTATTACCCTGTATTCTCTAGCTTAGGCGTCGCACCTATGTGTAGTACGGACTCCCGTGCTGCGTCAGGCGTAAGACCGTTTGCTTTGTCTAGCCTAGGCTCCACACTCGCTCCTCCTTCGTCTACTGCTACTCCTTCGCTGTCCTTTACACTTGACTCCGGTGCGTCTGCCTGCTTCTTCTGCGACCACGCCACACTCATGCCGCTTGCCACGCCTGCCAATGTCGCACTTGCTGACCCCTCGTCCGGTCCTGTCGTTGCTCGCAGCTACACTACCCTCCCCTATCTAGCAGTCCCCTCGCTCTCCCTTACAGGCCTCCACATCCCCTCGTTCTCTCGGAACTTAGTTGGTTTCGGTTGTCTTCAAGACCTCAGCGTCACCACTACGTTCCCGGGTAACGAGCGGTACGCCGTCTGTATCGAGGCTGCCTTTGGTTCCCCCCATGCGACGTTCCCCCGGGACCCGGTATTTGGCCTCTTTACGCTGGACACTGCTTCCCCCCCGGGTGGACCGTCCCTCCCGGGTCTTGCGTCTACCCAGGTCGTCGTTGCGTGCTCGTGTCGATCGCTCACTCACCCGTTGCTTCTGTGGCACCACCGCCTAGTCACCACGCACTCCCGCGTCTGCGTCACATGTCCCAGCACGGTCTTGTCGTAGGTCTTCCAACGTCGCTTCCTGCCCTCCCTCCCTTGCCTGCGCCGTCGTGCACGCCGTGCGTCGAGGGCCGGCTGCGACGTGCTCCTCACTCCTCCTCGCTTCGTCCTGCCACCGCACCCCTTCAGACCCTGCAACTCGACGTCTTGGGCCCCGCCCCCGTCCCCGGACCGTGTCGCGAGCGCTACTTTCTAGTGCTCGTGGACGACTACACGCGATACACCACGGTGTTTTCCTTGGAGTTGAAGGCCGACGTGCCTGTCGTTCTCATCCCGTGGATCGTGGCTGCCCGTCTTCACCGCGGTCTCCATGTGTTGTCTCTCCACTCCGACCGTGGCGGCGAGTTCGCCTCTGGTCGGCTTGGACAGTTCTGTCGTGCGGAGGGCATCACCCAGTCGTACTCCCTTTCGGACTCCTTGCAGCAGAATGGGGTCGCTGAGCGACGCATCGGCTTGGTCATGGAGGTGGCGTTAACCTCCATGATTCATGCCAGTGCACCCCATTTCCTGTGGCCGTTTGCTATGCTGCTCACCAACTTAGCCTCTGGCCGCGCTCCCAGCGGCCGCAGGTTTCGCCGACCCTTCATTGGACAGGGTTCCCTGGTGAAGCGTCCGCGCTCCACGTCTGGGGCTGCCTCGCTCACGTTCGTGCCTTAGGCACGGACAAGCTCACTGCCCGCACTGTTCCCTGTGTCTTCCTTGGTTTCCCCTTGGACTTGTCTGATTGGCACTTTGACCACCTGCAGTCTCACCGCTTCCTTGACTCTCGTAACGCTACTTTCGACGAGTCTGTCTTCTTTTAGCACCGCTTTCTCCATCGAGGTCTCCCGGTTTCCCCCCCCCCCTGTTTCTGGTCCCCACTCCCCCGGTCGCCCCGGCTCCCCTTCCTCCCCGTCCTGCTCCGTCTGGTGTGTCTCACGTCACCCCCCCCCCATCGCTTGTCCTGGTCGAGGAGTCGGCTGACTCTGGTAGAACTGCGGCACAGCTCCCGCTGCCTGTCTCCCCCTCGGTGTCTCCCTCATTGCCGTCGCAGTCGCTGCCACCGCAGCAGCCGCCGCCGCCGCCGCGGCCACCGCCGCAGCAGACGCCGCCGTCGCAACAGCGACAGCCGTTTGTGGACTCTGGGGGAGCTGGCATTGAGGAGGGTGCTAGTCCTGGGGTTCCTGTCGTAGCTTGTCTCGGCGGGCTCGGGGATGGCACTGGTGCTGGAGAGGATTCTCGCTCTGGGGGTTCTAGTTCTGGGGGTGCTGGAGTGGAGTGTTCCGGAGGTAGTCGCATTGCAGCTGGCGGTCCCGGCGTCAGCGTCGCACAGCAGCAGTAGTAGTCGCCGCCAGTGTCCGCCCTTCGCCTGCTCAGCATTCCCTCCCCTGACCGCTCGCGTGTGCTTCCCCCGCCACCTCCTCCCCTACCTGTTCACAGCCCTGTGTTTCCTCCGCTCGACTCCTCCCGGGCTCGTTTCCCGCCTCGTTCCCCTCCTGTTACCCCTCCTTTGTCTCCTGACCCGACGCCTCCGTCTCACGATTGGTCTCGCCGTCCCTCTCGTGCTCGCCCTATCTCTCCTGTTCAATGCTCTCACCCTATGTTGCTTTATTCCCATGCGCCTCGTCCTCCCCTCCTGCCTTCGCCTCCTCCATCGTCACTCGCTGTCGCGTCCCCCCCCTCTGTCTGACTACCTTCGTGCTGCTCTTCCTTTTGTTCCTCGGGTCCTTGCCTCCCTCGTTACCGACCCATCTGTTCCAGTCTCCCGTTTTGACGCTCTTGTCGTGGCTGTCACTGACTTTGCCTCTACCCGCCGCCTTGAGTACGCCACCGTTGTGGTCTCTGACCCTGTCTGTCCTCTGTCCGTTGGGGGTGCTCCTGCCCTTGGCAGTGACGTCCTAGAAGTCAGGCAGTACGAGCTTGCTTTCCTGTCCAAGGCTGCTCCCCATCTCTCTTCCATGCTGCTAGTCCCTGAGGGTGACCTAGATGCCTTCGACATCCCGACCCCTCGCACTTACGCTGAGGCGACCTCGGGACCCTCGGCCTCTCAGTGGATAGCTGCCATGGAGCAAGAAATGGCATCTTGGAGATCCACCGGCACCTACGTCGACGCAGTTCCCCCACCTGTGGTGAACGCAGTCGATGGCCGATGGCTCTTCACGGTGAAGCGCCCTTCTCGAGAGCCGCATGTGTTCAAGGCGTGCTACGTGGCTCTAGGCTTCAGTCAACGCGAGGGAGTGGATTTCTTTCAGAACTTCGCCCCGACCTCGAAGATGACTGCTCTTCGAGCGCTGCTACGCGTAGCAGCACAGCATGACTACGAGCTTCACTCCCTTGACTTCTCCACTGCTTTTCTTCAGGGCAGCCAACACGAGCAGGTCTACCTATGCCTTCTTAGGGATTTACTGGTACCTTCCCTTCTGGGACCCACTGGCTCCTTCGGCGCCTGGCCTACGGCCTGCGACAGGCGCCCCTGGTCTAGGCTAACTGACCTGCAGTTTTTTCCGTCCTCTGCAGACTCCTCGCTCTTCGTTCGTGCTGGCCAGACCCCGTTCTACATACTGGTCTACGTAGACGACCTGGTCTTCGCTACTGCAGACAGAGATGCGCTGGCCTCCGTAAAGGCCGAGCTGCTGAGGAGACACACCTGCACTAACCCTGGAGAGGTGGCCTACAGATCTCCAGGGATAGAGCAGCGTGCACCATCACTCTCACACAGTCACACTTGGTGCGCTAGGTCCTTCAGAGGTTCAGTCTTCAGTTCTCCTCCGCGCAGCCCACACCCCTGCCAGTAGACCACAGGCTCTCAGTTCCAGTTCCTGAGGAGTCAACAAAGCCCAGTGGTCCTTACGCAGAGCTGGTGCGTTGCCTCATGTACCTGATGACTTGCACTCGCCCAGATCTCGCATACCCTCTCAGCATCCTGGCTTGCTTTGTGGCCACAGGCAGACACCGACCCCAGCACTGGTCGGCTGCTAAGAGGGTTTTGCGTTATCTTGCGAGTACATCGGGCATGGGGCTAGTGCTGGGAGGACGCACGCCAGTGGTCCTTACTGGACACACAGACGCTTCTTGGGCAGAAGACGCTGAGACCCTCAGGTCCTCCCAGGGATACTGCTCTAGCCTTGGTTCATGTGCCATCTCGTGGAGGTCCACTCGCTCCTCGTCTGTTGCCCAGTCTAGCTGTGAGGCTGAGATCTACGCCGGTGCCATGGCAGCACAGGAGCTCCGCTGGCTGACGTTCTTGCTCGCCGACTTAGGTGAGCGGCCTAGCTCTGCCTCGATCCTGTACGCTGACAACAGGGCCATGATCCTCTGGTGTCAAGAGCCTCGACTTGAGGGCAGAGCGAAGCACATCCAGCTTTGGTACTTCCTCCTGCGCGAGCTACAGCAGCGTCGCCAGGCCCGCATAGTCCACTTGGCCTCCGGTGCCAACATAGCTGATATCTTTACTAAGGCGCTTGCGCTTAAAGATCATCAGCGGCACTGCTTGCAGCTTGGTCTAGTTCCTGTAGACTCTCACTTGCTAGGACCTTGATTGTGTACTCCTTTATATTTATACCTTCCAGACTGGCCTTGTGGCTGCTCTTCCAATGGTCGAACTACCGCCCTGGTTTGCTCTTGTCTTGTTTGTACTCTTGCTGAGTGGTCTTCAGACCCCTGCCTCAGAGGTTGGACTAGTAGTGCCTCCTTGAGCTGCTTGCTTCTTGCTCAGCACTACCCCTTATCTAGCCTAGGGGGTGTGTCAACTTATACATATAATGCTATGTAGAAGTTATAGGCTAGATAGGTGTATGTTCTTAGTGGGTACAACCCCAACACTAGATCTCTCTTGTTTTCCCTTGTGTGCTATCCTTTATGTACTTGTTTGGAACATACTAACTATAGCTTAGCTAGGGCTTAGACTTATATGGGGTACAGTACAACAGTAGATAAACCCAGCTGTATTCCTACGCCTAGTCACTTGATTCTCTCGACAATTACAACTGCCAATGTGGAAAGATCTATCATAAAGCACAGTCGCTAACCACTGTGCTAAAAGGGTTTCTTTTCTCTTAGCAGGTCAGCATGCCCAGAACCCCCCAGGCATAGAAGCGTATGGCCCTTCCAAGGGTCTCTGGGGCAACCCCAGTGGGTCGCTCAACAAGATCGTTATTGTCGATGGGGTCGTGACGTGTCATATCTCTGGCACAAGGTAGGATGGTATGGTACCCTTTCTCGTACGTCATAGCACTTTTTAGTGGCATTACAATTTGGTTGCCTAGCTCGACACCATCGGATGGCAAATGGTTGTGCAGAGCCCTCAACGTATCCACCACCACATCCCTCAACACATGCACTCGCTGATTGCTGCTGCTGCTGCAACTGATTCTGGAGCCTCTGCTGATGCTGCTGCTGCTTTATTACCCCTGCAACACCACATTGCTCAAGCAAAGGCTCGACACTGCGTCGGATGGCAGATGGTGGCGCAAAGCCCTCAGGACATCCACCACCACATCCCTTAACACACGCACTCGCAGCATTCTGCTGTGGCTTGAGCAGCTGCAGCTTGTGCTGCTGCTGTTACCAGTCAAACTGTCCCTGCTGCTGCCCGCCCCTTCCACACCCTTACTCCCACATACATCATCTCCCGTACCGTGCGCACCCTCCCATGCCCTGCCACATCTCAAGGCATTTCCAGCGTCCCAAAACAGGTGCTCCTTGTCATCTGACAGCCAGGAGAGCAGCGACTGGAAGCGGGAGACTATGGCCCCTACGGAGCCTGCTAGGCCACGCTGGGAGAGCAGAGGGGGGAGGGTGCGGGGCAGGTGGAAGACTGCGGCAGTGGGGTTGGTGGGGAGGAGGAGGCGGTCGGGGGAGAGACGGGTGAGCATGAGAGCGAAGAGCCGCAGAGCCTGCATAGGAGGAAGGGCGGGCGGGAGGAAAGTTGGAAGGTAAACAAAAAAAAAGGGGAAAAAAATCTGATGTTATTTGAAGAGGTTGCGAGCCAGATGGAATACCTGGCTGGCAGCGGAGAAGAGATTCAATGGTTTCGAGAATTCATTGAGGGTTTTGAGATTTTTTTAGACAAAGCCCAGGGTGTCCCAGAGGAGGGGGGTGCTGCTGTTTCCTGGTTCGGAGTTGTGGTGGCAATCATAGGCCGTGAAAGATGTAGATCCATCAAGTTTTGAGGCGCCTCAAAACTAGGCAATCGTAGGCCGTGAAAGGTGTAGATCCATCAAGTTTTGAGGCGCCTCAAAACTAGGCAATCGTAGGCCGTGAAAGATGTAGATCCATCAAGTTTTGAGGCGCCTCAAAACTAGGCAATCGTAGGCCGTGAAAGATGTAGATCCATCAAGTTTTGAGGCGCCTCAAAACTAGGCAATTGTAGGCCGTGAAAGATGTGGATCCATCAAAACTGAGGGAAACGAGTGTACTGTCCACGGGCAGCGAGCAACTTGAACGGAGTCGAGCGTGTCGAGGAGGAAAGACAAGCTTTGTGCTGCTGCTGCTGCCACTTTAGGACTGCTTTAACCAACAAAGACGAGGCTGCAGGCAGGAGCATATTATCAAGGGCAGTGCCGGACATACTGTCCAGGGATAGAAACGTACCGTCCACGGGCAGCGAGCAACTTGAACGGAGTCGAGCGTGTCGAGGAGGAATGGCAGGCGTTGCTCCTCTGGTGCTGCTGCCACTGCGCTGGCGAGCTCCACCAGCAGCCACGTGTAGCTAGCTGAGTGGAGGGCAGAGATTGCGGAGGCGGGTGGAGGAGGGAAAAGGGGGGGGTCAGATATATATCGATTGCTGCTGCCATGGCACTGGCTAGCTCCACCAGCAGCCACGTGTAGCTCGCTGAGCGGAGGGCAGAAAGTGGGGAGGCGGGTGGAGGAGGGAAAAGGGGGGGGTCAGATATATATCGATTGCTGCTGCCATGGCACTGGCTAGCTCCACCAGCAGCCACGTGTAGCTCGCTGAGCGGAGGGCAGAAAGTGGGGAGGCGGGTGGAGGAGGGAAAAGGGGGGGGTCAGATATATATCGATTGCTGCTGCCATGGCACTGGCTAGCTCCACCAGCAGCCACGTGTAGCTCGCTGGGTGAGGGGAAGAGGGAGGAGGGGAGGGAAGGAGGTCAGGTAGAAGCATTTAAAGAGAGTGTGCTGCGCTGCTGCCAGTGCAGTGGGTAGCTGCACCAGCAACCACGTGTAGATAGATGGGAGGGGGAAGAGGGAGGGGATAGAGGAAGGAGGTCAGGTGCAGTGGCTAGCTGTGCTGCTGCCAGTGCAGTGGTTAGCTGTGCTGCTGCCAGTGCAGTGGTTAGCTGTGCTGCTGCCAGTGCAGTGGTTAGCTGCACCAGCAACCACATGTAGATAGATGGGAGAGGGGATAGGGGAGAGGGGAAAGGAGAGAGGAGAGAGGGGATAGAGGGAGGAGGGGAGGGGTCATATAGGCACGTATATGTCACTGCGTACAGGTGTCTATATGAAAGTGCAAAAGGTGTGCTGCCACTGCACTATGCTGGATCATCCAAGGTGGCGATGAAAGCCATTTCAAGATAAGGTCAAGGTGGATTGCATGCCACGTCATCCTTCCAAGCTGACCTGGCAGTGGATGCTCGCAGAGAAACACACGGCACGGTGCCACGTCATCAAGGGACAGGTGGCGCGGGGTGATTCGCAGGAGGTGCAGACGCATGGCGACTGCGCGGGCTGCTGCTGGGGAGAAGACGAGGTGGGGAAGGCGGCTACTGGGGGAGGTGGAGGGGGTCGGGTTGGGGATGGGTGAAGCTGATGGTGATGGGACCTGGAAGAGAGGGGAAGGAGTGAATGGAGGAGGGGGGGGGCAGTGGGAGGGGAGTGGTGAGAGGGGGGATCAGTTAGATGCGCACAAATGGGGGACAGGGCACACAAACATGACAGGGCGCACAAACATGACAGGGCGCACAAACATGACAGGGCACACAAACATGACAGGGCGCACAAACATGACAGGGCGCACAAACATGACAGGGCACACAAACATGACAGGGCGCACAAACATGACAGGGCGCACAAACATGACAGGGCACACAAACATGACAGGGCGCACAAACATGACAGGGCGCTGATCTGCCTCATCAGATAACGCCCCGATCTACCTCATCAGCTAACGCCCCGATTCTCCTCCGGCATCACAGATCTTCGGACATAATTCCAGTGAGCGCGGATAGGAAAAGGGTTACTGGAATTACTGGAATTACGTCCGAAGCCCCGCTTTCACTCGTTTTCACCTGTTTTTCCTACTTGCTAAACCCGTCTCCGCTGACGCCGCGCTCCCTGGAAGATGTCCAAGGATAGGAAAACGGTTACTGGAATTACTGGAATTACTGGATATGTCTGAAGCTCCGCACCACTCCACGGCACTCCACGCGTCACCTTCAACTTCACTGTCTCCTGTGTTCCGCACACCCCTTACCCTTACCGCACCCTCCCTCCTCACCTTGAGTCTTGAGAGCATACCCAGCACGCCTCCCCTCCGCTTTCCTCCGGATCACTCCAGGGCAATCCACCGCCTGAAAAGTAGACTACTAGAACATGCCCCTTCTCCTAACCCAAGGCATTAGTAGTCTACTTTTTAGGCGCCTAAAAAAATAGACTCATCACACCCGGCACTAGAACATGCCCCTTATCCTAACCCAAGGCATTAGCAGCTTCTCACCTTGAGCATCCCCAGCAGCACGCCTTTCCTCCGCGTCGCTCCAAGGCAGTCCACATCTCCCACTCACCAGAACAAGCCCCTTCACAACACCCTCCCCGTAAGCAGCACCATCCCCAGCACATCTCACCTCACCTTGCGCATCCCCAGCACATCTCACCGCCGTATGCACATCAGCTAACCCCCTCACCTTGCGCATCCCCTGCACGTCTTCTCGCCCATCACTCCACGGCACTCCACCGCTCACCAACTCACCAGAACACACAGCTTACCCCTACAACGCCCTCCCATCTCATCTCACCTTGAGCATCCCCTGCACATCTTCCCTCCGCATCGCTCCAAGGCACTGCACATCTCACCTTCACCAGAACGCGCCCCTTACCCTTGCTTGCATCACCCGCCCCTCACCTTGAGCATCCCTACACCACCCTCCCCCCTCACCCTGAGAAGCCCTACACCACCCTCCCCCCTCACCTTGAGCATCCCTACACCACCCTCCCCCCTCACCTTGAGCATCCCTACACAACCCTCCCCCCTCACCTTGAGCATCCCTACACCACCCTCCCCCCTCACCTTGAGCAGCCCTACACCACCCTCCCCCCTCACCTTGAGCATCCCTACACCACCCTCCCCCCTCACCTTGAGCAGCCCTACACCACCCTCCCCCCTCACCTTGAGCAGCCCTACACCACCCTCCCCCCTCACCTTGAGCAGCCCCAGCACGTCCTCTCGCCGCATCACTCCAAGGCACTCCACCACCGCCCGCCACTCCGGGCTCTCATCCAGCGGCCAGCTGTCGCCCTCCCATTGGCTGCTGTGCTTTATGGCCTTCCTGGTCCCTGCCCGTTCCTTCACCTGCTGCTGCTGCTGCTGCTGCTGCTGCTCCTGTGATACCTTCTTTCCCTTCCACCGCTCCTCCCCTCCCTCCCCTCCCTCTCCTCCCTTTCCTCCCTCTCCTCCCTCTGGTTCCTCTGCTTTCTGCACCAAGGACTGGAATCTCGGTCGAGGCAGTGGCAGACATCGCATGAGCTCCCCAACACACGCCCACGCCTCTGCCTCAACCATCCCCCCTCCAAACTGGTCTCCAATGCTGCTGCTGGTAAAGCAATCGCCACCAGCACCAGCAGCAGCAGCACCACCACCACCACCAGCACCACCACCAGAAGCACCAGCAGCACCAGCAGCAGAAGCAGTAGCATCGCGCCTCCATACTCGAGAAGCATCGGCCCGCGATGCGGGCGGATAGGGCGCCTCTGCTTTGTTTGCTGGCCCGTGGTGAGAGTGAGATGTCGATAGAATGGCTCCCAGGCCCATCCAGGCCCATACCCTCACTGCAGCAGCTGCTGCCGCAGACTCCCTCGCTTCTACCAAGGCTGCTCTTGCTACAGCTGCTGCTGCTGATGGTGCTAGTGCCGGTGCTGGTATTGATGCTTCTGCTGGCACCACAGCAGTTGCTGTTGTTAGGACTGATGCTACAGACCGTGATTTGCCCCCTTCATCCCTTAAAGGTGTTCCTGCTGCTCCTCCTCCTGCTGCTGCTGCTGCTGCTCCTCCTGTTGCTCCTCCTGCTCCTGCGGAGGAGCCCTTCTTTCGGAACCACTCTGAAGTGGCTTCCTCCCCTTCCTCTGACACTAACCCTTCTCCTCTCTCCAGAGATGCACTAGAACTTACAGCACCGGTGACGCCAGCACAAGGAGCATCTGCAGAGCCAGCAGCAGCAGCAGCAGCAGCAGCAGCAGCAGCAGCAGCAGCAGCACGAGCCCTACTAGCAGTAGAAGCGGCAGCAGCAGCGGCGCCAGAAGCAGCAGCCATATACGTCCGAACCAGCACCATCACGTCCCTCAGAAGCTTCCGCGACCTTTCCTGGGAGAACAGCGCCACCACGGCTGCCAGGTGTCGCGACAGCAGCGCCCGCTGCACCGCCGGCGCCAGCTGGACGAGCCTGCTGACGTCAGCAGTGAGGTCATCGAGGAAGGGGACGATCCCGCGGTGGGCGGCGAAGTGGAGGCATGCACAGCGTAGGTTGTCCGCATCGGCTGCTGCGCTTGCTGCTGCTGATGGGTATGGCAGTGCTGTTGGCCCTGCTGCTGCTGCTGCTGCTGCTGCTGCTGCCGCTGCTGGCCCTCCTGCTGCTGCAGATGCAGAATGATCAGGGAGGAGCAGCAGAGCAGCATGGGAGGCAGGAGAAACCCCAGAGGCACGGCGGAGGAAACGGCGGAGGATGGACGGCCAGTCTAGGGAGGGGACCCGTGGGGCGTGCGAGAGGAGGACCAATGAGGACGCGACAGCTGGCACGCTGGCAGCGTCCTGCTTATTGAGAAGAGGGTGAGGGAGGGGAGGAGGGGGGGGTGGGGAAGGGGAGGGGAGGAGGGGGAGGGGATAGGGAGGGGCGAGGAGGCGGAAGTAAGAAAGGTTTTGATATGATGTGGGTTGGAGCAGCGAGGCAGTACGCAGATCTCTTCACATGCTCAAACCTGATATCACACACACACTCCCTCAATTTTTGAGCAGTATTGCTTGTAAACCTTATCACACACTCCCTCAATTCCCATTCTCACTCACTCACTCACTCATTCCCTCACAGCCGCCCACACTCACCCATACACTCCTTGCCCCTCCCCAATACGTCCTAGTATGACAAAGGGGTGACCCCTATCATACAAGCATGGCAGGTGATTTTTGAGTCGACTAAAAAATCACACTCCCCCATACACTCCTTGCCCCTCCCCAATATGTCCTTGTATTCGATAGGGGTGATGAAAGCAGATAGGGGTGACCCCTATCATACAAGCATGGCAGGCACGTTGTGCCCTGATTTTTTGAGTCGACTCAAATATCACCTACAGATATGTCACACGAGACATTTGAAGATCGGCGTGCTATTATCGCGTGGAAGCTTCCGAAGCGTACAGGAGATTTTTCAGTTTCAGCTAGAAAGTGTTAGGTGTAGCTACACTTAATTCATTTTTTCTAGCCTTGAGGTTCGGACTCCGAGAATTCCCTCGAGCCGCATTTTGGCCTTGGGAGGTTCGCGAGCTCCTGCCTATTTAGCCTTGCTCATTTGCATTGCTCTTTTGTGTACGGTCTGCTGAAGGGGTCTGATGAAGGGGTCTGCTGAAGGGGTCTGCTGAAGGGGTCTGCTGAAGGGGTCTGCTGAAGGGGTCTGATGAAGTGGTCTGCTGAAGGGGTCTGATGAAGGGGTCTGCTGAAGGGGTCTGATGAAGGGGTCTGCTGAAGGGGTCTGCTGAAGGGGTCTGATGAAGGGGTCTGCTGAAGGGGTCTGCTGAAGGGGTCTGCTGAAGGGGTCTGCTGAAGGGGTCTGATGAAGTGGTCAGCTGAAGGGGTCTGATGAAGGGGTCTGCTGAAGGGGTCTGATGAAGAGGTCTGCTGAAGGGGTCTGCTGAAGGGGTCTGCTGAAGTGGTCTGCTGAAGGGGTCTGATGAAGGGGTCTGCTGAAGGGGTCTGCTGAAGGGGTCTGCTGAAGGGGTCTGATGAAGGGGTCTGCTGAAGGCCGCCACCTGCCGAAACTAGTTACCATCAATTTTGCCTCACAAATTCACGAGAGTTCCTTTCTGAGCAATATTATTTTTTTCTAAATCAACAGTGCTTTACAGCCCGCTGCCACGTATGGCTAAAACCACCACCAAGTGGTGTTCTCTCGGATAGGGGTGATGAAAGCAGATAGGGGTGACCCCTATCATACAAGCATGGCAGGAACGTTGTGCCCTTCCTCCCTCCCCCCACGTGCTTTTGAGTCGACTCAAAAGCATGGCAGGCACGTTGTGCCCTCCCTCCCTCCCCCCACGAGCAGACTCCTCTCCAGCAGCCACGACGCCAGCAGCCAAGATGGCAGCAGCTGCACCACCAAGCATCCCACCCTCTAGCCCCCCTACAGCCCCCCCAGCACTCACCCACAGACTGCCGGCTCCAGAAATCGTCCCTCCCCCACGTGCAGACTCCTCTCCAGCAGCCACGACGCCAGCAGCCAAGATGGCAGCAGCTGCACCACCAAGCATCCCACCCTCTAGCCCCCCTACAGCCCCCCCAGCACTCACCCACAGACTGCCGGCTCCAGAAATCGTCCCTCCCCCACGTGCAGACTCCTCTCCAGCAGCCTCGACGCCAGCAGACAAGATGGCAGCAGCTGCACCACCCTGGATGCAGGAAAGCAAACTGCAGGAGCCACCAAGCATTCCACCCTACAGCCACCCTACGGCCCTCATACAGCCACCCTACAGCCCTCATACAGCCACCCTAAGTCCCTCATTCATACAGCCCCCTCACACTCACCCACAGACTGCCTGCTCCCGCGCTCATCCGTGCCCCCATGTGCGGTCTCCTCTCCAGCACCCACGACGCCAGCAGCCACGATGGACGCAGTCGCACCACACAACGTCATGCAGGGAAGCAAACTGCAGGAGCCACCAGGCATTCAATTCTACAGTCCCCCACACTCACCCGCAGACTATCGGCTCCAGAACTCGTCCCTCCCTCCACGTGCAGACTCCTCTTCAGCAGCCACGACGCCAGCAGCCGCACCACATTGTCTGGAGGGAACCGAGCCAGCAAGCATCCCATCCTACATGCCCCCCTCACACTCACCCACAGACTGCCGGCTCCCGTGCTTGCCCCACCCCCCACGTGCAGACTCCTTTCCAGCAGCCACGACGCCAGCAGCCGCACCACACTGTCGGGAGGGAACTGAGCCAGCAGCCACTGTTTCTCCTCCCCTCCTCCCCTCCTCCCTCCACTCCCTCCTCCCCCTCTTCCTTCTTCCCCCCAAACTCCTCTCCCTTCACCTCCACTCCCTCCGCTTCCCAGACCTCCTCTCCACCCCCCATCCTCCTCCTCCTCCTCATCTTCCTCCTCCTCCTCACCCTCGCCGGACAGCTTCCGGGAAGCTTCCACGCAGAGCGCCAGCGCCCAGCCAGCCTGGCGCTTGACGCTGACGTGGCGGTCGCGGCGGTACGCCTCGACCAATGACTGGAGCGCGTCCCTGACAGACGATTGGACGGCGTCGTTCGGGGAGAAGAGGAGTGGGCCAATCACAAGGATCTGATCGGCTGATGTGCTGGCCGCACCAGCAGTGATAGGTACCGATGCTGCAGCGGAATTAGTCACACCAGAAGAGGTGGCAGCAGCAGGAGCAGCAGAGGAAGCATTCGGGTGCTGTGTGTGGTAGGGCGGGAGCGAGGTGAGCAGAAGAGGAGAGCCTAGCAGTGCTGCGACTGCCATGGCTGCTGCCGCTCTCACGCTGCTGGGAAGAAGCGCTGATGCACCTAAGCCTGCACTGCCGCCTCTGCAACTATCGGAAACACCTACACTTTCGCCCACTGCTGTCGCAGCAGCAGCAGCAGCAGCAGTAGCAGCAGAGCCACTCCCCTTCTCCCCTTTGAGAGCGCCCAGCAGGGGGCTCAGCACGTCCCTGATCGCCCCAAGGGGCAGGGCGACATCGCAGCAGAGAGACGCATGCACCATGGAGGCCAGAGAGAGGGAAACAGCTCCCAGGAACACTGGGGGAGGGCCGTGGAATCCAGGTGTGCCTGCTGCTGCTGCTGCTGCTGCTGCTGTGGTGGTGAAGGCGCCTGTTCCTGTGTAGTCAGCTTCGGTATAAGCACCAAAAGGGTCTCTGTTGGCCGCGCCTGTGGCAGCAAAATTCTCACCAACGGGAAAAAGAACCGAGCCCGGCGGTAGATGCTGCTGCTGCTGCTGGTTTTGCCCCAGGCGCTCCTGGTACTGCTGGTACTGCTGCTGGTGCTGCTGGTGCAGCAGCAGCAACGTATCTTCATCCAGCACCAAGCCTGGTAGGTTCGGCAGTGGCAGGTGCGGCACGGACAGCAGTGCGAGGGACTCTGCTTGTGCTTGCGCTTGGTCCACAGGCAAGGGCAGCACCAGCGGCTGTCTCTTCAAGTGCATTACCTCTTGAAAAACTCTCCTCAGTCCGTCTGTCCATTCTGCCATTTTCTCCTCCTCTATCCACTCTCCCTGCCCACCTGATTGAGCAGCTGCCATTTCTCTACCTCCCTCTCCCCCCCCCCTGCCTGTCTCCCCCCTCTCACCCCACACTCAGCTATCAGAGGCAGCGCCAGCGCTGCTGCTGCTGCGAGGACAGGTGGGGGCACGTGATTGGCCGAGGAGGGGCCTAGGGAGGATGGTGGGGTAGGCAGGGAGATGGGGTCACCCCACCCGTCCACTGCTGGGGGCGGGGGGAAGGAAGGTCCACCTGGGGGAGGTGGATCCTGGCTTGAAGTGAGGGAGTGGGCGAAGGCTTGGGTCCAGTTGAAAAGGAGGGAGGCGAAGGAGGAGAGGAGGGAGAGGTGGGGGGGAGAAGGGGAGGAGGAGGTGAGAGAGGAGGTGAGTACAGCAAGGCCTAATAAGGCCCCACCCACACCCCACTCCTCCCCCTCATCATCCCCAACACCCCCCTCAGCCCTCTCTGATCCCATTCCCCCCGTTCCCCCCAAGCTCCCCTCGCCCTCCCCCCTTCCCCCCTCCACCTCCCCCAGTGCTACAGTAACCGCCCGGCCCATCTCCCCAGGAAGCTTCCACAGAACCTGCGCCAGATCCTCGAGAGACTGGGGGGAGGACCGACCAATCACGGCGCAGAGCGTTCGTACCGTTGCTGCTGCTGCTGCTGCAGATGCTGCTGAGTCAGCGCCCCTGCCAACGCTGCTGCTGCCGCCTTCTGCAGCCGACGAATGGGAGAGCGCCACCTGGCTCGCTGCGATGGTCCCGAGGGAGACAGCAGCTGCAAAGCGGAGAGAGCTGTCGACTCCTGATTGGTTGAGGAACTGACGGGGGAAATGGGTGAGAAAGGTCGGGTGGGAGGGGAGGAGGGCATTTTGGGGCGCCTAGAAAATTGGCGGATGCGAGGGGAGGAGGGGCATGAGATGGTCCTTAAAACACCAAGAAGTGCGCGGACTTAGGCAACCCCCGAGAATATGTGCTGTTACATGTCTCACCCTGGCCAGCAGGATGGCTATCCTGAGGCGCATGTGATGTGAGCATCCGTGGGGTGTTGAATGAAGACACCCCCTACCAGCACCAGCACCCCCAGAACCTGCACCCCCATCTTAGCAAGCAGAAAGGCGGTGCAGGATGGCGATCCTGGCTTGCACAAGTCTCACCTTGGTCAGCAGAATGGCTATCCTGAGGCGCATGTGAGCATCCGTGGGGTGAAGGCACCCCCCCACAGCACCCAACGCCAGCGCAAACGCCCACCCACTCGCCGGCAACCAGCCAGCACCGCCCAATCCCCCCCCACCCACGCCCACTCCCCCTCTCCCCCCCCTCCCACTCCCCTTCCACTCCCCCCTTCTTCTTCCCCCAACTCCCCCCCTGCCCCCACTCCCCCTGCGCCTCCCCCTGAGCTTTCATCTTTGAGCCTCCCCCTGAGCAGGTCGGCAGCGGACGCAACAAGGCGGTGCAGGGAGGGCGGCAGAGCTTGGCAGAGAGCAGCCAGGGCGAGCGCGCTGTTCTCAGCCTCCACTGGAACGCCGCTCTCCAGCCCTCCAGTCACCACCTCCCATAGCCCCACTGCTGCTGCTGTCGCTGCGTCTCCTCCTCCCCCTCTGGCCCTTCCTGCTGATTCTGCTGCAGTAGCGGCAGCCGCCGTACCAGCAGTAACACCAGCGGCACCACCCGCAGTAGGGCCAGCAGCCGCTGTAGCAGCGCCGGCTGTAGCGGCGGCTGTAGCGTGCAGCAGGCGGCACCTGGCGCGGTACCATTGGCGCATGAAGTGCGTCCAGGCGGCGAGGGACGAGAGCACCAGCGGGTAGAAGGCCGGGCGGCCCAGCAACTGGGACGCTTCCAGGAAGATGCGGTGGAAGTGCGAGTCTCGTTCCTTGAGAGCCTGGAGAAGGGTGCGAGAAAGGGGAGGGGGGAGAGAGGGAGGGGGGAGAGAGGGGGGGGGAGGAAGCAATTCCAACCAAGAACCTGAAACCGTGAACAGATGACCCTAAACCGTGAACAGATGACCCTAAACCCTGAACAGATGACCCTAAACCCTGAACAGATGACCCTAAACCCTGAACAGATGACCCTAAACCCTGAACAGATGACCTTAAACCCTGAACAGATGACCATGGATCAAAGGGTTTTGAGGAGAAAGGGGAGGCAGTCTCTCGAGGCGATTCAGAACCAGATATGATTCAGAACCAGATATGATTCAGAACCAGATATGATTCAGAACCAGATAAGATTCAGAACCAGATAAGATTCAGAACCAGATATGATTCAGAACCAGATATGATTCAGAACCAGATATGATTCAGAACCAGATATGATTCAGAACCAGATATGATTCAGAACCAGATATGATTCAGAACCAGATATGATTCAGAACCAGATATGATTCAGAACCAGATATGATTCAGAACCAGATATGATTCAGAACCAGATATGATTCAGAACCAGATATGCATCCTTGAGAATGTCCGATAATGACAACCACACCCTCAGCATTTTTCACAACCCTTAAAACACCTACCCCAGTTCCCACCTTCTCAAGGTTCAGCCGTGCCTGCCTGGCGCTGCCAGCGGTACTTCTGCTCCGTGTTGACGTGGACTGAGCTGGAGCTGACGTGGCAGATGGTGGTGCCGGTAGCTCTGGTGGTGGCGGCGGCACTAGGAGCAAGGCGGCAGCAGGTACATCTGGGGGAGGTGGAATAGACGAATTGCACAGGGGAGGTGGGAAAGGTGAAATGGGGGAGGGCACAGAGTCGAGGCAGGGCAGTGTGTAATGAGTCTATTTTTGAGTAATGAGTGTAATGACTCAATAAAGAATAGACTCATTACACAAGAATGGAGGCAGGGCAGTGAAGTTATCAGTACCTACCTACCTACCTAGCACCGGACTTTACCAACCCCCTTCAAATCTAGTCCCTCTAATGCCCATCCCGTACCAACCGCATTCAACCACCTTCAACCGCCTTCATACCTTTTCCTCCTTTCCATTTCTCCCTCCAAAGCTCTCCGGACACATCAACCGGGGCAGGGCCGCCAGGAGCCTGTGCCCCCTGCTGGACCCTACCTAGCATGCTAGCATACTAATACTCACATCTACCTAGCACCTTAATACCTACCGCCTTTATACCTACTGCCGCCATACCTGCTGCCGCCATACCTGCTGCCGCCATACCTGCTGCTGCCATACCTAGTCCATCTTTCCCCTTTCTCCCTCCAAAGCTCTCCGGACACAGCAATCGGGGCAGGGCGGCCAAGAGCTTGTTCGAGCGCCACGTGGCAGCACCAGGCGCGCCAGATGACGTGGCAGCAGATGCCATGTCACCTCCCGCTCCCTCTCCTCCTCCAGCCGCTGCTGCTTTGATGGCCGATCGACCCCTGGGGCGGGTTCTGTGCTGGTAGTGTGCGAGCTTGGCGAGCAGGGGCTGCATGGCTTGGCGGACGGAGGGACAGGGCTCTGAGAGGTAGGCTTGTACGAGGTGGGTACTGGGGTAGGGCCATGCGTCAGTGACGTCATCAACCTGGAGAGGGCAAAATTTGGAGGGAGGGAGAGAGACAGGGAAGCAAGGAGAATGGACAGCACACAAGTGAGAAAGCAGGGCTGGAACTTTGATGGCCGAGAGACCCCTGGGTCAGGTTGGGTTGTGTGGTGGTGATGATTGAGAACAAGGACCCCTGGGTCGGGTTCTGTGCTGGTAGCTGGCGAGCTTGGCGAGCAGGGGCTGCATGGCTGGGCGCACGGAGGGACAGGGCTCTGAGAGAAATGTTTGCACTAGGCGGGCACTGGGGTAGGGCCATGCGTCAGTGCGTCGCCAGCAGAAGGAGAGTAGGGATGAAGAATTTCGGGGATTCGGGGAGGGAGATTCGGGGTAGGGAGATTCGGGGAGGGAGATTCGGGGTAGGGAGATTCGGGGTAGGGAGATTCGGGGTAGGGAGATTCGGGGTAGGGAGATTCGGGGTAGGGAGATTCGGGGTAGGGAGATTCAGGGTAGGGAGAGCGGAACCACAATAGGAGAGACACAGAGTGAAGGAAAGGGAGTGAGGGAGAAAGGGAGGGTGAGAGTGAGGGAGGAGTGAGGGAGGGAGGGGAATGAGGTGAACCTATGTAGAAATTATGAGAGGGCAATGGTTACCGAGAAAGCAGCTAGTGCAGTGTAGGCAGAAGCACGGGTCTGCCTCCACTCTTCCTCTCCCCTTCTTCCCCCACTCCTTTCCTCAATCACCTCCCCCTCCTCCCTCCCTTTCCTGGCAGCTTCCCACAGCCCCTCCATGATGCCACGTGTCGCGTCGGGATAGGCGGCGGCATCGAGAGCAGCGGATTGCAGCAGGTGGCACCAACACGCGGCCGTGATTGGATGGGTGGGCAGGGAGGGGTGTGATCTGGCGACGACTTTCCATGCTGTGAAGAAATCTGGGGTTGGAATAGTTTGTTTGGGGGAGGGAGGTGGGGCGGGGATGAGGGGGGAGAAAGGGAACATTGGAAGAGCGTGCACTGGGCCAGTAGGAGATGAAATTGGCATCTCCACCATGGCATGGCACGGCATGTCGACTTTGCAGGGTATGTTTGAGAATTCTCAAAAATACCCTGCAAAGGCACGGCATCTCGACAATGGCGCGGCATCTCGACACCACCCTTTGCCACAGAGAGGGGGGGATGACCAGAGAGGAGGCTGTGAATGTGTATGGCACGGTATGGCATGGCATGGTATGGCATGGCATGGTATGGCATGGCACGGTATGGCATGGCACGGTATGGCATGGCATGGTATGGCATGGCACGGTATGGCATGGCACGGTATGGCATGGCACGGTATGGCATGGCACGGTATGGCATGGCACGGTATGTCATGGCACGGTATGGCATGGCACGGTATGGCATGGCACGGTATGGCATGGCACGGTATGGCATGGCACGGTATGGCATGGCATGGTATGTCATGGCACGGTATGGCATGGCACGGTATGGCATGGCACGGTATGGCATGGCACGGTATGGCATGGCACGGTATGTCATGGCACGGTATGGCATGGCACGGTATGGCATGGCACGGTATGTCATGGCACGGTATGGCATGGCACGGTATGGCATGGCACGGTATGGCATGGCACGGAATGTCATGGCACGGTATGGCATGGCACGGTATGGCATGGCACGGTATGTCATGGCACGGTATGGCATGGCATTGCAAGAGAGACAGTATGTGATCGTCTCTATTCAAACAAATCTGCAACGGCATCACAGCCCAAGGGCAACCTGCAGCTTCATGTCCTTCATGTACTTCATGTATCCCTGTGGAGAAGCATAGCACACACCCACAAAAGCGGTGTAAGACTCACCCAGCAGCATTGCATCGGCTCTGCAAGACTCACCCACAGCATCGGCCGCACAGAGAGCAGCAAGCGCGTCGAAGGCAAAGGTAGCGACCAGCGGATGCGGCGACTCTATAGCCGCCTGCACTGACAGCACCAGCCGTACTGCCCGATTCCGTGTCACATCATCTTACCCACATGTACCTTCCCCATATTCAACTCACCCACAGCATCAGCAGCACAGAGAGCAGCGAGTGCGTCCAATCCGAAAACGGCAATGAAGGGATGCGGTGACTCAATAGCCGCCTGCACTGACAGCACCAGCCGCACTGCAACCTGTGTAAGAGGCTCTGCAAAACTCACCCACAGCATCGGCGGCACAGAGAGCCGCAAGGGCGTCCAGTCCGAATGCGGCAACCAAAGGATGCCGCGACTCAATGGCCGCCTGCACTGACAGCACCAGCCGCACGGCCCGATCCGTGTCGTGGCGACACACGCCGCGTATGCTCGCCGCTGCTGCCAGCACCACCGCCTCTGACGCTGCATCCCTCCTTGGGTCTATTCTGCCAGTGCTGGGAGTGGAGAGCGACTGAGGCAGCAGCAGCGGCTGCAGCGAGGGGAAGATGCGGTCCGTGATGGCCCACGCTTGCTGGAGGAGACGCAGAGCGACGGATGCAAGGAGACTGACGGGGGTACGGGAAGGGGGAGAGGTAAGGGTAAAAGGCGCAGGGAACTGAGGGCACTAAGGCTGCAGCGAGGGGAAGATGCAGTCGGTGATGGCCCATGCTTGCTGGAGGAGCCGCAGAGTGAGGGGACTGGCAGGAACGGGAGGGGGGAGGGGAAGAGTGGGGGGGGGGCGGAGGGAGGGTAGCAGGATTAGAGGAACAGGGAGCTGTTCCTGTTCCTGGGAACAGGGAGGAATTGCGGACGGCAGGAATTGCGGACAAGACAACAGAGAAGGGCGACAATTTGGTTGAGGACGATCAGTCAGCTGTTGTGCCAATTTGGTTGAGTCTCAATCGGATTACATGTTTCCCTCCAGATGCTCATCTCAGGCTTGTTTGAGAAGACACAGATGAGTGGAGATGGAAATCTTGAGGAGGTTAAAAGAATCACAAGAAGAAGACAAATACTAATGAGTTTTAAGACGACTCAAAAGAAGGAAACGATGTGAACAAGGTGGGGGGGTAGAGCAGGAGGAAATCAGCCGAAAGAGACACGGGAGAAAGAGGAGGAAGAGAAACGCACGGGCGGGACTTCTGGCCGGCAAGCTTTGTCAGGACTTGCACCACGGGGCCAGCTGCCAGCCAGTGCCTCGCAAGGCTTGGCAGCACACACAGCACTTGAAGACAGGCCTCGCCGTCCACTCCCTCACTCCCACCCCCCCCTTCCCTCACCTCTCTCCCCCCTCCCACCTCTCCCTTCCCCCTAGCCCCTCCCTGTGCCACGTGGCTCAAGCTCCAGAGGACAGGTGGCAGCAGTGAGAGCGCCCAGAGAGGCTCACAGGAGGCAAGGCGGGAGAGGGCAAGGAGGGAGGAGGAGCGGAGGGATGGGGAGGGGTGGTGCAGGGTGGAGAGAGGGAGGAGGAGGGCAGCAAGTGAGAGGATGAGGGATTGACTCAAGCCGCTGCCGGCTGACGTCTCTCTCCCTGCCTTTCTCACTGTCTCTTTCCGGATCTGAATCAGTTGCTGCTGCAGCGCTACCAGCCACCTATCAGAGCCTGACACGTGGCACCCATGCTCTCCCCTTCTGTTAATGACCGCCTGAGAGCCTGCCACGTCAGCTGCTGTGTCGTCCATGTCTACTCCAGGAGCAGAACCGATATGCTCATGCTGACGTGGCACGGGCTCATTGGCCCAGGTTTCTGGCGAGTGCCACGTGCCGGGCTGCCATTGGGGAGAGGCGATTGGATGGTTCTTGAAGCGAGAGTGAGAGGTCAAGCAGATAAAGAGTTGAGCAAACTGGTGCATGTGCCAGAGGTCAGGATGCCTCCACTGCTGCTGCTGCTGCCGTACGAGCCACAACTGCTGCTGGTTACCGAGCATTGCCTGCTGCTGCTGCTGCTGCTGCTGCTGTGAGAAGAGAGGCCGACTTGCAGTGGCAGCAAGGCAGGCGTTGATTGCATGTGCTGCGGACAGCTTGAGAGACGGCGAGGGGAAGGAGAGGAGGTGGAGGAGGGGGAGCAGCAGAAGCGGAATGCAGAGTCTTATGTCATCATCACCCGAGTCAGCAGCACCTTTGAGCCTAGTGTGTCTAGAGAGAGAGAGTCTAGTGAGGCTCTGCTGCAGAACTGCCAGCACAGTGGCGTGCTCTTCGTCCGCTGGAAGCCCACACAGCAGCAGGCGCATCAACCCAAGTACTTCCACCTCGTCTGCTCGCTCTCTGGTTTGCTCCACCCTACCCTCCTCCACGCCTTCCCCTTCTCTTCTCGTCTCCCCCCTACCCCCTCTCACTGCCTCTTCCTCCTCTTCTCTCTTCTGCTCCCATATCTGTGCTTCAATTCGCGCCCGCAGCAGCGAGGCTTTCTGAATGAGGAAGAGGGAAGAGGCCAACCCAGCAGCAGCAGAGGCGGCAGTGGGTGCAGCACCAGCACCAGCACCAGCAGCACCAGCGGCACTGTTGCTGCCCGCAGCTTGCAGCTCGAGGGAAAGGGCAAGAGCACAGGCAGAGAGGCGGCTCGAGAGGGAAGCAAGTGCATGCACGTGTTGGTTGGGGATGGATTCGGTGTGAAGGGTTTGGGAGTGGTGGTAGATCTGGCTCTGTGCTTCTTGCATGTCCTTTAAAGGTGCCACGGCATAGGCCAGGTCCATGAGGTCGCCCGTACATGCCAGCATGGTCTCCCGATCCTGGCATGCGCAAATAGAGCAACACACACACACACACACACACACATGCACACACACAAGCACGCGCGCACACACACACGCGCACACACACGCGCGCGCGCACACACACACACACACACACGCACGCACATGCACACACACACACACACACACACACACACACACACGCACATGCACACACACATACGCACACATATGAGAACAAACACATATGAGAACAAACACATATGAGAACAAACACATATGAGAACAAACACATATGAGAACAAACACATATGAGAACAAACACATATGAGAACAAACACATATGAGAACAAACACATATGAGAACAAACACATATGAGAACAAACACATATGAGAACAAACACATATGAGAACAAACACATATGAGAACAAACACATATGAGAACAAACAACCCTCATGGTTTGATCGCCTGACAGGGAGGCGTCAGATTACATCACACGAGACAGCGCTGACACTCACGGCTGCTGACGACAGCATGTGCCACGGAAGCAGCGACACCAACAGCCCCGTGATTGGCTGGAAGAGGTCTGCTGACGTGGCCGCCATGTGGACCAATCGCGTGTGGAGAGCAGCTTTGAAGCGGAGGCGGGAGGGAGGGGAAGGGGCGGGGAGGAGTGCGCGGCAGAGGAACGGGAGGAGAGAGGAGAAGAGGAGAGCGCGGTCACTGCTGCTGCTGGCACTGTTGCTTGGTTTGGTGCTGCTGGTGTTGCTTATGGTGGTAGTGCTGCTGCCGCTGCTCCTGGCATTTCTTGTGCCAGTGGTGATGCTTTTATTGCTAGAGCTGCTACTCTTGGTGGTGGCCGTGGGGGTGGAGGAGAGAGGAGGAGGGGAGAGGAGGAGGAGAGCGAGGTGGTGAAGCAGGGGGAGATGTGTCTCGTCTCGTGTCTCCAATAGCTGATTGCCACGTCATCACACGTGGACGAACACAGGGACGGGCATGCGCATGCAATAGCACATGGGAGATTATGGGGGGAGGGATGAGAACGCATGCATTTGTTTACAATGCGGCTTTCAAAGGGGTTGTCCAAAAGTCTCCTCTGCTGTAGTTAGTCTTTGTACACGTGGCGGGCAACAAAGGTGAAAGCATGTGAAAGGGTGAGAAACCAAGGTGGGAAGATTTTTGAGTCGACTCAAAAATCACTCATGTGAAAGGGTGAGAAACCAAGGTGGTAAGAAGTAAGGAAAGAGTGGCAAACCCTACAAGGGCAATTCTGGGTGGAGTTGCCGTGTTGAGAATTCTCAAAAACCAACTCTCAGTATGAGCATGCTTTGAGTCGACTCAAAAAAGCATTATTCTCAAAAACCAGCTCTCTACGAGCTTTCTTACGCGTGCGAAAGGATGAGAGTTGGCTACAAGTCCGTCGCCATTCAGAGCTGTTGAGGCGCCTCAAAACAAGAAAGCACGGCTCATAGCTTTGAGTTGCCGCACTCCACAATCCACACTGCACACCGCACACTGCACACCGCACACTGCACACTGCACACTGCACAGCATGCTCACACGTGTGAAAGGGTGCGTGCTCCAAGTCCACCGCCATTGCACCTCGCCTCCTCGCCCCCCCCTCCACTCCTTCCCTCCCCCCCCCTCCCTCTCGCCTTCCTGCTGCTTCTGCCGCCCCTCCCACGCCTCCACATCCCCCTCACGCACTGCACGTACATCCCCACCGCCCCCGCGCACACACTCCCCACCACCTCCCCCCGCACCGCTGGCAGCGCCGCCAGCAGATGCGCCAGCGCTGTTGGTTGGGGGAAAGGGGACAGGGGTGGGGAGCAGGCGGAAGGACAAGGTGTACATGTGGGGGAAGGGGGGAGTGGGATGGGGGAGTTGGGGGGCAGACGTGTGCGGAAGGGGGAAGGCGAGTAGGAATGGGCGGGGAGAAAGGGGAGGAGGGGAAAGGAAAGGTGGAGGGTCTCGGTTTCTGTATTTTCACTGTAGCAGCACAGTGCTAGAGGGTATTTCCCTCCCTTCCCCCCCTTCCTAGAGGGTAAAGGAGGGTGCGGAAAGGGGAGGAGGGGAAAGGAAAGGTGGAAAGGAACAGTGCTAGAGGGTACTTCCCTCCCTTTCCCCCCCCTCCTCCTCCCCCATTTCCCCCCCCCCCCTTTTCAAACCCTCTGACCTTCATCCGCCTTGCAGTGCCCTGATTGGACGAGCCCGCAAAGCGCCGTCACTGATTGGTCCACCACTGCTGACGTGGCATGCGTCAGGCACGCCGTCAGCGCGTCGCGCGCGGGCGTGCAGGTCTGAGGCGCCGTGCTTGGCGCCGCGAATCGCGCGAATATCGCGTCAACTGTGAACCGCTGCACGGACGGGTGCGGCGTGTTCAAACGGTCCAAAAGCGGCGGAAAAATCTCCGCGGGCCGCGCCATAGCTCCTAAAATTCAGGCCCGAATTACGGCCACGGCCTGATGTACGGCCGGAATTCCGGCTATCAACGGGAATTAGACGAAGGGGACCGCAGGCAAGAAAGAGGTGCACCAGTCAATAGGCTGCAGCTAGCCATGAATGAAATAACTCCGGCATTCGGTATCCCCAGCAAACTCCATGATCGAAGCAGGACGATGCGGCTGAATTATATATTTTGCCATAGTCCTCGTTATTGAGCTCATTCGTCACGCCTATAAACGCAATACGGTTATAACAACTTTGGGTTCAAAAACATACTTTGGTTGTCCAGTCTGAACAACCAAAACTGTGTACTTGAGACCTTGTAACTCACATTTTGGTGACACGAATCCCAAGCAACCAGGCGAACTGCAAGCCGGGAACTTTCGCGAAACACTGGCGATTTCGAGGGTCAATTCTCAGGCTCGTCATCGGGCGATAACCCACTTGCGAATTCCTGGTGGAACGGCGAAAACGTTTGAACGAAAGGGATTCAGTTACCTGTTAGCGTTTACGGGACATCTGATATTCGAAATACGGTCCATTCTTCGCGAAGCTGTCCAAATCCCTCGAAATTTTCACACCTTGATCACAGCAATCCGCCATCAGAGCGATGCCGTCTTAGCTTCCGCGTCCCACGCCGTTATTTCCGCTATGGCCGCGCACGCGCTTGCGTCTACGCGCCTTTCGTTTCTGGAAACACCATGTTCCGTTAAGAATGTTCTTAAAACGAGGAGCAGCGCCTCCAAGAACCGTTCATTCTCCTCCCTCCCCGCATTCCGCCTTCCCCTACATCGCGCAGCTTCCTGGAAACAACGCGCCTTATCTTCCAACCAGGGGAAAAGAAACACCTCATCGATGTCTGTACGGTCAGAGATCGATCTAGACTTGAATCAACGGCCAGAAATCCGCATCGCGATCGAAGAGAGCCTATCGCGCTGTCTCGTCCAATCAGATCTCGAGGGGGCCGTGGCCGGAGTCGGGCCGAAGCAAGAGGGGAAGGTTCGGGACGTGTACTCTGCCAAGCCTGGAGCTGGTTCGGCGACGAGGAGTGACAGTAACAGTAAAGCGGGCGAAGACGTGTTGGTGGTGGTTACCACGGATCGCCAAAGCGCGTTCGACCGGATTCTCGCGTCCGTACCTTTCAAAGGGCAGGTAAGTCACCCGTACGGTCCGGTCCTGTTTTGAGTGGACCCAAAAGCAGATCCGGTCCGATCCGGTCCGGATTCTTGGGTCCGGTTTCCTGTTCATCTTCTTTTTCTATTTTTCACGCGGGCTCGAACTCTCAAACCCCGCTTAAACCATTCAAACGGCTCGGGCACAGAAGCGACTTCCTGCGCTGCTGCTGCACGACATCCGTCGTGCCACAATACGCCCTCCCACTTCCCCACGGCTCCCCCTGCCACAACCCCTCTCCGCCCCCCCCCCTCTTCTTGCTTCCCCCAAGTCCTGAACCTGGCGAGCGCGTAGTGGTTCGAGCAGACATCGCCGTCCCTTCCTCCCTCCCTGCTCCCCCAATCCTCCCTCACCGCCAACCCTTCCTCAGGTCCTCAACCAGACGAGCGCGTGGTGGTTCCAGCAGACGGCTGACGTCGTCCGCAACGCTTCTCACCCCTCTCTCCCTTCTTCGTCCACCCCTCTCCCCCTTCTTCGTCCACCCCTCTCTCCCTTCTTCGTCCACCGCTCTCCCCCTTCTCCTTCCACCCCTCTCTCCCTTCTTCGTCCACCCCTCTCCCCCTTCTCCTTCCGCCCCTCTCTCCCTTCTTCGTCCACCCCTCTCCCCCTTCTTCGTCCACCCCTCTCTCCCTTCTTCGTCCACCCCTCTCCCCCTTCTCCTTCCACCCCTCTCCCCCTTCTTCGTCCACCCCTCTCTCCCTTCTTCGTCCACCCTCTCCCCCTTCTCCTTCCACCCCTCTCCCCCTTCTTCGTCCACCCCTCTCTCCCTTCTTCGTCCACCCCTCTCCCCCTTCTTCGTCCACCCCTCTCTCCCTTCTTCGTCCACCGCTCTCCCCCTTCTCCTTCCACCCCTCTCTCCCTTCTTCGTCCACCCCTCTCCCCCTTCTTCGTCCACCCCTCTCTCCCTTCTTCGTCCACCGCTCTCCCCCTTCTCCTTCCACCCCTCTCTCCCTTCTTCGTCCACCCCTCTCCCCCTTCTCCTTCCACCCCTCTCTCCCTTCTTCGTCCACCCCTCTCCCCCTTCTTCGTCCACCCCTCTCTCCCTTCTTCGTCCACCCCTCTCCCCCTTCTCTCCACCCCTCTCCCCCTTCTTCGTCCACCCCTCTCTCCCTTCTTCGTCCACCCCTCTCCCCCTTCTCCTTCCACCCCTCTCCCCCTTCTTCGTCCACCCCTCTCTCCCTTCTTCGTCCACCCCTCTCCCCCTTCTTCGTCCACCCCTCTCTCCCTTCTTCGTCCACCGCTCTCCCCCTTCTCCTTCCACCCCTCTCTCCCTTCTTCGTCCACCCCTCTCCCCCTTCTTCGTCCACCCCTCTCTCCCTTCTTCGTCCACCCCTCTCCCCCTTCTTCGTCCACCCCTCTCTCCCTTCTTCGTCCACCGCTCTCCCCCTTCTCCTTCCACCCCTCTCTCCCTTCTTCGTCCACCCCTCTCCCCCTTCTCCTTCCACCCCTCTCTCCCTTCTTCGTCCACCCTCTCCCCCTTCTTCGTCCACCCCTCTCTCCCTTCTTCGTCCACCCCTCTCCCCCTTCTCCTTCCACCCCTCTCCCCCTTCTTCGTCCACCCCTCTCTCCCTTCTTCGTCCACCCCTCTCCCCCTTCTCCTTCCACCCCTCTCCCCCTTCTTCGTCCACCCCTCTCTCCCTTCTTCGTCCACCCCTCTCCCCTTCTTCGTCCACCCCTCTCTCCCTTCTTCGTCCACCGCTCTCCCCTTCTCCTTCCACCCCTCTCTCCCTTCTTCGTCCACCCCTCTCCCCCTTCTTCGTCCACCCCTCTCTCCCTTCTTCGTCCACCCCTCTCCCCCTTCTTCGTCCACCCCTCTCTCCCTTCTTCGTCCACCGCTCTCCCCCTTCTTCGTCCACCCCTCTCTCCCTTCTTCGTCCACCGCTCTCCCCCTTCTCCTTCCACCCCTCTCTCCCTTCTTCGTCCACCCCTCTCCCCCTTCTTCGTCCACCCCTCTCTCCCTTCTTCGTCCACCCCTCTCCCCCTTCTTCGTCCACCCCTCTCTCCCTTCTTCGTCCACCGCTCTCCCCCTTCTCCTTCCACCCCTCTCTCCCTTCTTCGTCCACCCCTCTCCCCCTTCTCCTTCCACCCCTCTCTCCCTTCTTCGTCCACCCCTCTCCCCCTTCTTCGTCCACCCCTCTCTCCCTTCTTCGTCCACCCCTCTCCCCCTTCTCCTTCCACCCCTCTCCCCCTTCTTCGTCCACCCCTCTCTCCCTTCTTCGTCCACCGCTCTCCCCCTTCTCCTTCCACCCCTCTCTCCCTTCTTCGTCCACCCCTCTCCCCCTTCTTCGTCCACCCCTCTCCCCCTTCTTCGTCCACCCCTCTCCCCCTTCTTCGTCCACCCCTCTCTCCCTTCTTCGTCCACCCCTCTCCCCCTTCTCCTTCCACCCCTCTCCCCCTTCTTCGTCCACCCCTCTCTCCCTTCTTCGTCCACCGCTCTCCCCCTTCTCCTTCCACCCCTCTCTCCCTTCTTCGTCCACCCCTCTCCCCCTTCTCCTTCCACCCCTCTCTCCCTTCTTCGTCCACCCCTCTCCCCCTTCTCCTTCCACCCCTCTCCCCCTTCTCCTTCGACCCCTCTCCCCCTTCTCCTTCCACCCCTCTCCCCCTTCTTCGTCCACCCCTCTCTCCCTTCTTCGTCCACCCCTCTCCCCCTTCTCCTTCCACCCCTCTCCCCCTTCTTCGTCCACCCCTCTCTCCCTTCTTCGTCCACCGCTCTCCCCCTTCTTCGTCCACCCCTCTCTCCCTTCTTCGTCCACCCCTCTCCCCCTTCTTCGTCCACCCCTCTCCCCCTTCTTCGTCCACCCCTCTCCCCCTTCTCCTTCCACCCCTCTCCCCCTTCTTCGTCCACCCCTCTCCCCCTTCTTCGTCCACCCCTCTCCCCCTTCTTCGTCCACCCCTCTCCCCCTTCTTCGTCCACCCCTCTCTCCCTTCTTCGTCCACCGCTCTCCCCCTTCTCCTTCCACCCCTCTCTCCCTTCTTCGTCCACCCCTCTCCCCCTTCTCCTTCCACCCCTCTCTCCCTTCTTCGTCCACCCCTCTCCCCCTTCTTCGTCCACCCCTCTCTCCCTTCTTCGTCCACCCCTCTCCCCCTTCTCCTTCCACCCCTCTCCCCCTTCTTCGTCCACCCCTCTCTCCCTTCTTCGTCCACCGCTCTCCCCCTTCTCCTTCCACCCCTCTCTCCCTTCTTCGTCCACCCCTCTCCCCCTTCTCCTTCCACCCCTCTCTCCCTTCTTCGTCCACCCCTCTCCCCCTTCTCCTTCCACCCCTCTCCCCCTTCTCCTTCCACCCCTCTCCCCCTTCTCCTTCCACCCCTCTCCCCCTTCTTCGTCCACCCCTCTCTCCCTTCTTCGTCCACCCCTCTCCCCCTTCTCCTTCCACCCCTCTCCCCCTTCTTCGTCCACCCCTCTCTCCCTTCTTCGTCCACCGCTCTCCCCCTTCTTCGTCCACCCCTCTCTCCCTTCTTCGTCCACCCCTCTCCCCCTTCTTCGTCCACCCCTCTCCCCCTTCTTCGTCCACCCCTCTCCCCCTTCTTCGTCCACCCCTCTCTCCCTTCCCCTTCGCCCCCAACAGGTCCTCAACCAGACGAGCGCGTGGTGGTTCGAGCAGACGGCCTCCATCGTCCCCAACGCCTTCCTCTCGTCGCCCGACCCCAACGTCACCATCTTCAGAAAGTGCCGAGTCTTCCCAGTGGAGTTCGTTGGTGAGTGCCCTTCCTGTGTTACCCGTCATACTCCACTCGAGTTTCAAGCATTTGAGTGTGCTCATTCTCCCAGGAGTCTAACAAATGAAGCAGACAGCAGTCTTCCTCTCGCCGCCCGGTCCCAACGTCACCATCTTCACAAGGTGCCAAGTGTTTCCGGTGGAGTTCGTGGGTGGGTTCCTTGGCTTGACGAACTCCACTCGAGTGCTGCATGCACCCTTGAAGTTTTTCTGGTGCGCCTAGCATTCCTTGAGTTCCTTGAGTGTTTCCGGTGGAGTTTGTGGGTGGGTTCCTTGACGAGTCAAAGCAACTCGACTGGGGAATGCAGGGCGCGTACCGATCATTCCCCAGTCTAGTTGCATGCAGGTACGTGCCCTCGTTTTGGGAGATCACCAGGGGGCGCAACGCTAGGTGGGAGGGGAGGGGGGGGGGCAGGTCTTGTCTTACTGTGAGAAGGACGCATCCCTGGCATCAGGTGCCCCTGGCATCAACGCATCCCCTTCTCCCCTCTCCCCCCTCACTTCCGTGTCAGCACTCACCTCCCCCCCCTCACTGCTACTCACCACTCACCCCGTGGTGACTTTTGAGTCGACTCAAAAGCCTTCTCCCTTTTGCCCTCACTTCCATGTCAGCACTCACCTCTCCCCCCTCACTGCTACTCACCAATCACCCCGTGGTGACTTTTGAGTCGACTCAAAAGCCTTCTCCCGTTTGCCCTCACTTCCGTGTCAGCACTCACCTCTCCCCCCTCACTGCTACTCACCACTCACCCCGGCTACGTCACGGGCACCACCAGCACGCCCCTATGGACAGTGTACAACAAGGGGGCGCGGCCCTACTGTGGGAAGAACCAGATGCCCCTGGCAACAGCTCATCCCGTCGTCCCTTTCTACCTGTTCGTACCTCTCTTATCCCCCCCAACCCAACCCCTCACCCCCAGTCCGCGGCTACATCACCGGCACCACCAGCACATCGCTCTGGACTGTTTACAACACGGGGGCGAGGTCCTACTGTGGGAACGACCTGCCAGAAGGTGGGTCTGCTTGGCTTGGGGTGTGTGCATGGGCGTGCGTGCGTGTGTGTGTGTGTGTGCGCGTGCGCGCGCGCACGTTTGGACGGTGTACAACACGGGGGCGAGGTCCTACTGTGGGAACGACCTGCCCGAAGGTGGGGAATAACGGAGAGGGGATGGGTTTTTTTGGGTGTGTCCCTATGGCAAATAGCACCCTGATGGGCTCTTTGCAGAAAGGGAATCAGGGTCCTACTGTGAGAATGGGAAGGGAACGACCTGCCTGAAGGTCGGTTTTTGCATGCATTGGCTGCGGCTGGGAGGGGAGAGGGGGGGCGGGGGGGAGGTTGCGGTGGGCGTCATGTTGCGGTGTGACCGAGATGGAGCTGCCAGGTCAGTGCCCCTCCAGCTTAACCTGAACCCCTGCCTTAAGGTCAGTTTATTATGTAAGAGCGATCGCGTATCGGCCAACATCCTGACCCCTGCACTCCCTCCGTCTCCTCCTCTTCCTCCGCCTCCACCACCGAGCGATCGCTCTGCACTGCCTTGCACTCACTCCCTGTGTGTGCAGGCCTGCGCAAGAACGACTGCCTTGCGGCCAACATTTTGACCCCAACCACCAAGGCAGCGGATCACGACGAGCCGGTCACCCCAGAAAATATCATATCCCGCGGGCTCTTGACGACCTTCCCCTCCACTCCCCCCCTCCTCCTTCTGTCCAGGCCTGCGCAAGAACGACCGACTTGCGGCCAACATCCTGACTCCCACCACCAAGGCCGCGGACCACGACGAGCCAGTCACCCCAGAGGAGATCGTGTCCCGCGGGCTCATGACTCAGGAGGAGTTTGAAGCCACCCGGGACTTGGCCCTGAAGCTGTTCGCGTTCGGGCAGGACGTGGCGGGGGAGCACGGGCTCATTCTGGTGGACACCAAGTACGAGTTTGGGAAGGACTCGGACGGCAACATCCGTCTCATTGACGAGGTGAGAAAGCCTGCCTGCTGCTTCCACACTCACTGCCCCTCAGATGGGTGCGCTGTTGCTTCAGCGCAAGCTGCAGGGGCGAGGGCACAGCTTGCAGCCCCAACGCACCCATCTAGTTTGAGACCACCAGGGACTTGGCGCTGGAGCTGTTTGCGTTCGGGCAGGGGGTGGGGTGGTGGGGAAGCACGGGCTCATTCTGGTGGATACCACCAAATTCGAGTTTGGAAAGGACTCGGATGGCAACATCCGGCGTTTTGACGAGGTGAGGAAGCCGGGCTCTGGAAGTCCTTCCGGTGTTGCAGTGCGGGCAGCAAGTGGTCCAATCCATTCTGGCTCTAATTACGAGTTTGGAAAGGACTCAGACGGCAACGTCTGGCGTTTAGACGAGGCGAGCAAGACTGCTCCCACTGTCCGTCAGATGGTTGCGCTTGGGTAGGAGGAGGTGGGGAAGCACGGGCTCATTCCTCTGCTCCCTCTTTTCTCCCCTTTCTCTTCCCCTTGCAGGTGCACACCCCCGACTCCAGTCGCTATTGGATCGCATCCACGTACCAGCAGAGGCACGCCGAGGGGCTAGAGCCACAAAACATAGATAAGGTGAGGGTAAGAGTGATTCTGGATGGAACACAGACAAGGTGAGACATCCCGGGCTATAGAACTCGGTGTGAGCTTCGTCATTGTTCCATCCATCATTCTTTCTGTGTGCCTCGCTCGAATGTTCGTAACGTCGCATCCTTGTGAACATCTCTCCCACTTGTTGCATGCAGGAATTCCTCCGGCTCTGGTTCCGGGAAAATTGCGACCCATACAATGACAAGGTACTATAGCACCCCTGGTGTGGCAATGTTGCACCGCTACCATCGGCTGCAATGGCCGGGGATTGTATTGTAGTGCACTGGAAAGGGCATTACACTGCGGAACAAGTTGTGCTGTACTGGAGCCCACAAAGCACGCTGGTGTAGTGAATTGTAATGAGTTACGTATGAAGGACAAATTACCGTTGTGCTTTAACTGTGTGGTCTGTTTACTCGCCCTTTGTCCTCCCTGTTTTCTTTTGAGTCGACTAGAAAATAACCGTTGTGCTTTGATTGATGTGGTGTGGTGTGTTACTCGTCCTTTCTTCTCCCTGGTTTGGTTCCCAGACGCTCCCTGCAGCACCGCCCCATCTTATCACGGAGCTATCCTGGCGGTGAGTTCCCGAGTCATCTAGATTGAAGCTTTCTCTAGAATTCTCAAAAATGATTCCAACCCTGCAGGCTGCAGTGCCGTCCCATCTTATCATGGAGCTATCCTGGCGGTGTTTCCGCGCTCCAGTGCTCCCGTGGTCAGGACCTTCTGTGTTTTCCTTGCTCCCGTGGTCAGGACCTTCTGTGCTTTCCTTGCTCCCGTTCATTTTCTTGCATCCCACGCCACCTAAAGTGCGCTGTGCGTTGTATTACGAAAGTTGGTTTCACTTTCCTGTAACCCCTCTCATACCCCTTAATCCATTACCCCTCTACCCCCAGCCACATTGCACGGTACGAGGCAATCACTGGGCGGCGGTTCTTGGTTACAGTTCACTTTCATCTGACCCCTCTCATCTCATACCACTTTATCGTCTATCCCTTTATCCATTACCCCTCAACCCCCAGCTACATTGCACTGTACGAGGCCATCACTGGGCGGCGATTCCACCTTCCTCGCCTCACTGTCAGTTGCATGGCCGTGCGCTCGTGTCGTGTCTCCCTTCCCTTGCAGCCGCCATGTGCATTTCATGTTTCCATGCTTTTTGTGTTGTGTGCAACGTACAGTGAATGTGGTAAATGCACTGTACGAGGGACGTGGTAAATCACTGGGCGGCGACTCCACCTTCATCGCCTCAGTCAGCTGCAGTGCTGTTTGGGATCATCCGTTGCTTGCAGCGTCATGCGCATTTCGAGGCGCCTCAAAAGTTGAGGCGCCTCAAATTTGCTGTTTGGGATCGTCCGTTGCTTGCAGCATCATGCGCATTTCATGTTCGTATGTGTATGGCACATGGGGTGTGTGATGCGATGTATGCCGGCCAATATTCACTCTGATCACCTCTGTTGCACATTGCAGGAGGACGTTTCGAAGAGAATAAACCGCAACGTGGCTGACGCTCTCCAGGGCTTGTGAAATGCCGTACCTGCTCGAGCAGAGTGTACTCATGCACAATTGGTGAATTAGGTACAGTACACATCACGGTCATACGGTAGATGATATGGAACCCCACAGAATGACCACCTTTCGTTTCTTTGTGAAACATTTCATATGATGACCGAGCTTCATTTCACATGCTTTGCAAGAATGGGATTAACCAGCTAATCATTACAATAATGCTCATACTGCTGTACCTGATGTAAACAAGCTAGAATTCTCCTATGGCATGGCACTTAGATTGTGCATGTCAGAGTTGCTCGGGTGCTGGTCTAGCAGCTTTCGTTCACACGCAGGTACCGTACTGGGCTGTGGCACATGTTCACTGAGGCCAGCCCTAGATCAGACTCCAGTACCAATGTGCTAAGCACCTGTGCGGCATCGTCTCGCAGCTGGGATGCCGCTCCAGTAGCTTATGCATGCACTGTACCGGGCTAGGGCACAGCACAGCGCACTTGTTTCTAAACCGACTCTAGTAATTAGAGTCTCAATCCATTCACAGCCTCAGTGGCAGAGTCCTGCATGTCGGCGCTGCTGGGGTGCCGGTCCAGCAGCTTGGACATGTAGCACCGCTCAGGCGCAGTGGCGATGCGCTGGGCTGGATCGTACATGTTCTCATCCCTTAGGGTGTCGAGAATGGCATCGCATGGGAGATCTCTGGAAAGGAGAGATTGGGGGGAAACGAGGGTGGTTGGGGGAGGAAGGAGAGGTGAAACGTGTCACACCCGATGCACTGGGATGGATCGTATATGTTCTCGTCCCTTAGAGTGTCCAGGATGGCGTCGCATGGGAGATCCCTGGGGGAGGAGGGGGGAGGGTCGTACATGGGGAGACTTGGAGACAGCAATGCGCAGGGCTGGATTGTACATGCTCTCATCCCTTAGAGTATCAAGGATGGCGTCACATGGGAGGTCCCTGGAGATGGGCGCGAAACAGAGGGGGAAATGTGGGTGGGAAGGGTGGAAGGGTGTCTGTCAAGGAGATAGTTTAGTCGATTCGAAAACCACCTACGGAGCAATGGGGGAAAGGTGGGCGGGAAGGGTGGAAGGGAGTCAAGGACGCCAGGACGACTCAGGACGCTGGGCTGGGTCACACACGCTTGTCGTCTCTCGGGGTGCCATATCAGCATTCGATGGGAGTATGTATGAAGGAGGTGACTTTTGAGTCGACCAGCATTAGATGGGAGTATGTATGAAGGACAGCGCAGTGACCCGTGAGAGCACATGCTGCACCACAGGTGCATGAGGAAGTAAGCCGTGCACGAGAACACGCACCGTACGTGCAGGATGTGGTAGAGAGACTGTGTGTAATGAGTCTATTTTTGAGTCGACTAAAAAATAGACTCATAACACAAAGCATGAGGAAGCCGTGCATGAGAAAACTCACAGCACATGCAGGATGTGGTCGAGCATGTGCAGGATGGGGAACAGCTCAATGGGCAGTACCATGTCGCCGGTGAGCAGGTGAATGATGGCCTCAGAACGAGCCTATAGGTGGGCTGTAAGTGCATTGACGGCGCACAAGAGGTGTATAAAGCACTCACCGCACGTGCAGGATGTGGTAGAGCGTCTGCAGGATGGGGCACAGCTAAATGGGCGCCACCATGTCAGCGTAATTGAATGAGTTACCGAAAATCAGAGGTTTGGTTCAATGGTCCATAGCAGCACTCACCGCACGTGCAGGATGTGGTAGAGCGTCTGCAGGATGGGGCAGAGCTCAATGGGAGCTACCATCTCCCCAGTAATTGGGTGCGGCACCTGGTAGGCTGGCTCGCTCAGCACTGTGTAGAAGGCTGATACTGCTGACACTCCCTGGTAAGGGTGTTGGAGGAATAGAGGGGGAAAGCAGGGGGAGTGCACAAGGGAGGGAAACAAGCAGCAGTGGTGACTGGGTGGGGCACCTGGTAGGCTGGCTTTCTCAGCACCGTGTAGAAGGCTGAAACGGCGGATACTCCCTGCACGGGGAATTCGGCAAGAGGTGCACAAGGGAGGGGGAAAATCAGCAGTCAGATTTGATGCGGCGTCTGGTGGGCTGGCATGCTCGCTCAGCAACGGGTGTTTTAGAGAGTTCTCGAAAACACCCTGCAGAATCTCGAAATTACCAGGGAGGGGGATAAACAGCCGGCAGATTGGATGTTGCACCTGGTGGGCACTCGCTCAGCAATGGGCGTTTTTCAGAATTATTAAAAAGACCCTGCAGAATAAATCACCAGCGGAGGGGGATGAACAGCCGGCAGATTGGATGTGGCACACTCCCCTGGTGGGCATGCTCGCTGAGCAATGGGCCGAAGGCTGCCACAGCTGATTTCCCTGGAGGCGGAATCGGAAAGGCGGTGCAAAACAGGTAATACCATAGGTCTTTGAGAATCCGCAAAAGCCTATCACAGCAAAATAGGTAGCACCGTATCGCTCACCCGAATCAGCCCCTTGCCTTCCACCATATCCCCCATCTTACCTGTCAGATTCCCCTCCGCCAGCTACTGCCCATACCACGCATCCCTCCCCTTCAACAGAGTCAGCTGACTCCCCAACATCTTGGAAATTGCAAGGCCAGCGATCTGCCTCCCCACCAGCACATAGGCTGCTCCCACGTGACAGGTGATTTCCCTTCCACTTTCTCAACGATCTCACCTGCATCAACCCTTGTCATCTCCCACACCCCCCGTCCCACCTGAATCAGCCCCTTGCCTTCCACCATATCCCCCATCTCAGCCGCCAGCTTCCCTTCCGCCAGCTGCTGCCCATACCACGCGTTCCTCACCTTCAGTAGAGTCACATACGTGTCCGTTTGCAATCGCTCTCACCTGGATCAGCCCCTTGCCTTCCACCATATCCCCCATTTCCGCTGTCAGCTTCCCCTCCGCCAGCTGCTGCCCATACCACGCGTTCCTCCCCTTCAATAGAGTCACATACGTGTCGGCCAATAACGGCCCAGCCAACCGCTCCGGCTCCTTCGCCAGTAACCGCGTAACAAAGATCATCTCGCTCGTACTGTGCGCGAAATACACCGACTTGGACGTCGCACTGTCTTGCGTCAACCCCGCGACGACCCCCGCGCCGATTGCATACACGTTCTTAAGTCCCCCCATGACCTCGTGGGTGACTAAGTCGCTGTTATCCCACACTATAAAGTTGCGCTGGCGAAGGAATGCCGCCATGGGAATGCGCCACGTGGCGGCGCCACATAGGCGCGCGTTGGCGTACTCTTTATTGTAGATCTCGGCTGCGATGTTAGGGCCTCCTAAGTACAGAATGTTCTCCATGGGGACGCCGGCTGGGGATGAGGGAAAAGGGGATCAGGACAAAGACGGAATCATGAAATTTGAATAGCGGATGGGATATTGGCATACTCCTTATTGGCAGAATTCAGGGGTTGAAGTGAGTCATGCTGAGTACCTGGTAGGTGAGACTGTATGTAGGGTGGTAAGAGCAGGCGATATTTGCAATTGAGGACTGTTCACATGAGCACAGTAACCCAGAACAGGTGTATTAGATCATTCAGGTGCAGTACCATTCTATCAATCCTTTTCCACTCTCTCGTTCAATCACCAACTGCTCTCGTCCGCAGTAATCGACGACGATCGTCTTGCTCAAACGGCCACTCCCTCTCTTGGGGAAGCATGAGTGTCGGTGTCACGATATGCGGCTCAGGCTCCATAGCAGCCAAATCCAGCAATCACTTTCTTGTTGACTCATCGCCTTTTCTCGAATCACAACTCACTCACTCGCTCAGTCAGTCAGTCACTCTATGGGGGGATCACGAGCGTTGGAGCCACTATGTGAGGCAAGAGCTCCTTTGCAGCATCCACCACCGTCACTCATGCACTCCAACGGTCACCCACTCTCCTGGTCAAACGGACACTCACTCTCTTGGTGGATCATGAGCGTCGGTGTTATGTGAGGCTCGGGCTCCATAGCAGCCTCAGCCAGCAATCACTCTCTTGGTAACTCATCACTCATTTCCTAAATCATCACTCTCTTGGTAACTGTCACTCACTCTCTTGGTGGATCATGAGCGTTGGTGTCACTATGTGAGGCTCCGGCTCCATAGCAGCCTCTACGCCCTTGGCCAATGAAACGATGACAGCTGGTGGACGTCGCCTCTCCCGCCAGAACAGCCCGATCTGGCGAAACACGGACCGCGTCTCGGTGGACGGCAGTCCGTTGATGATGACGTCAGCGTCCCACACTGCCTCTTGTAAGTTGGTCACCACGTTGAGAGGGCAGAGAGGCGTGTCGGCCAGGTTGACACAGAAGCCATCCCTGCAATGAACAACCAGGGAGAAGGTTTGGGGATTTTTTAGATGTCTCAAAACTCGTGCAGGTTGGTCACCACGTTGAGGGCACAGGGGCGTGTCTACCTGCTTGACACAGAAACCGTCCCTGTGATTAACAACCAAGTCAGGGGAGGTTCGGGGAAGGTTCGGGGCGTGTCTACCTGCTTGACACAACCAACCGTCCCTGCAATCTAAGATGTTCCAGAAATACAGGACATGGATGGGGATTTTAAAAAGGCTCATGCGGCAAGTGAGCTGGAGGGGTGTTGTTGTATAGATAAAAAGTGCGGTTTACCATAGAGATCACCATGAGAGTGAGAGGAGCATAACAGCAAGCTTCCTGGTGATACAAAAGCAAAAGTCTACCTCAAAATCTCATCAACAGATAGTGCTCTATCCCCGAGCCATGCCTTCACGTATGTAAGATACTTGCAGTTGCGGGTCAATTGTTGAGTCGTCTCAAGGAAGAGTCACCTCAAGATCTCATCCGCAATGAGTGTTCTATCTCCGAGCCGCGCCTCGACGTATTTGAGATAAGCGCAGTTGCGGATCAACCGCCTGAGGATGTCCTCCCTGTCGTTGATCACGTTGAACAGCTTCTGCGCGTACGCCTTGTCCAATGAGCGCCCGCCACGTCGCCAGATGCGCACATCGATCTTATCCTTGAATTGCCCGTACGTTTCCTGCAAGTGTGACGTTACACGTGGACAGGAAATGTTCGTCCTTGACAGATTATACTCAAAAGCCTATGCACACGTGGTTACACCGTAGCCACAACCATGGGGCATGGCATTAACCTAATTAAGACTCATAACACTGAGTCCTAATCAGGAGTCATGTTACTGACCAGAAGTATGACTCAAAGCCACACAGACGGGATCCACCTCCATACCAGATAACCGAATCAGGGCCGTGAACCCTCATAACCGTCTATCCCTCCGAATCACGCCGTTAATGCTCATGGCCGTTCACATACCCGCATCACGGCCGGCCACACACCTGGATCATGGCCATGAAGACGCATCCCCAGGCGCCAGCGCCAACCCCAACGACTTTCAGCGGGTCCCCGTCGGCCTTCCCCATCCGCTTCCGCAGCTCGTCCAGGCGCTCCTCCGCCGTCGGATACACGATCTGACGGTTCGTCCTGTCCAAGCTGGAGCGCCGCGGGGTGCCGCTCGTGATGCCATCGAGGCGCGGCGACGGCAGCGTCATTCAGAACGCAATTGGGAGTGAACTCACTCCAGTTTTTCAGACGACTCCAGAAAGCACAACGCAGCCGATGAAATTCTCTACGAAGGTACACGTGATTCGACGGAATCCGCCAATCTACAAGTCCTAGACGGGCGAGATTGCTAAACGGATCTCGACCGTCGTATCGTAATCTACCGACCAAATACGAAGTCTTTGGCGCCTGCCGAGACAACAGAGAAGTAAGAAGCTCCTAGGTGCTTCACGCTGGGTTGCCTTTCTACGGTGCGAGGAAACGCAAACGGATGACTACTGACTGCAGCTATTGTCCAGCGATCGGAGGGAGATGCTGACGATGAAATCACCTCGCGCGATCAATCCAAAATAGAAACAGGGTGTTACGGCAGGAAGTCTTGGACCGAAACCTCGAATCCCTCGTGCAATACAGGGGCGACGTTGTTGTAGGAAGGTTTCAAGCCGTACGCTCGTGTGCTGCTTCTAACAGGTCTCTAGTCGCTGCCTGATCGTGTCGGTGTCATCGTCAGTACCAAGGTTCTTGGAGACAACGACCGCGGAGAATTGCACACCGACTAAGGCAGCTTTTTACATACACTGCCTGCTATGAAGCCTGGTCGGCCATGCGATGAGCTTCCTTGATTGCACCTCGATTTGGTCGCACCTCGCAACTCTTGGGTTGGGAACACCCAGAATCCGTCTGGGCCATCGTTCGAGTCGATACAGTAACCGAGGTCGGATGGACGGCCAGCAGGCATCTGACCGTCATGAGACCACGACAGTCCCAAGGTTCACCATTCTGTCAGTTGGTGGCGTCAGCACAACCTTGTTTGTCAGGCCGCTGGGATGGTGGTGCTGGGGGGCACTTGGTGAGGTATGGCTACACTGCAATGCGCACTTCTCCTGAATGGATGTGTATTTTTTTACCACCCGTGGAAGAAACCTTTTTCAAAACATTGCTCCCCCCTTCTAATACTGGTATCATAATTGATTTCATTCTCCTATCTATAATTTTGGGCATTCTTCGTGAATGATGAGGCGGAGCTACAACTTGTCAAGCATTGAACCGTCTATAGGAAGGTACATTCAATGAGCCATCGCTATTATTCATGCATAGATGCCACATTTGCTAATGTTTCTGTCTCCCCCCAATGCATCACAATCCTCAACAACTGCTGCATGGCCATCCAATCCTGTCGCCCAATGTTCTCGCTCTCTTGGCTCACCACGAGTTCCTGCATCTCCCTCCCTGATGCATTTGATGCCTATACTGAGGGAAGATGCAAGAATCTGTTAATAAAATTGATTATAAATGGGAGTGAACCTGCAGATTATTCATCAAGTATGCCCATCCTCAAGAGACTGGGTAATCTGAAGGATTTTTAGGGACGTGGCTTGAAATAAGCATCGCTACAATATATTTGCATGTGTATGCCAATTTTCAATTTAGAAGAGATCAATATTGAATAAAACGGAAGGGGAAAAGGGTAGGAAGTGTAATGAAGCGCAAAGAGCGTGTGTCGAAGGATTGAGTAACGAGGAAAACAATAGAACTGAGGCAACATAAAAAAACAACAAGGGGCATGGATATAGCTAGCCTAGAGCACACAGTCGTGGCTCGGCAGAGCTGCGACGTGTGGTTCATAAATTAATGCGAAGCACCCAGATCTAGGCATGAAACTGTAAGGCAGGCAAAACGCATGCGGCTCGTCAGGAGGCCACATTTGGGTACCCCGTTATAGAAGTGTACGCCTTACTAACCAAAACCCGTGATAAGGAAATACCATTTCCTTACACCCTACCCCCTCCAAGGTATGGTCTTGGCTAAGACCGCCGACGCCGCACACATTGCGTAACTGGAGGTGGACTTGTAATAATGGGTAATTCTCGATTTGTGCCAAGGGCACCCAATTGTTTTCCAAGGTCGTTCGATCCTTCCAGGATATCATAAATTCGATCAGGTGAGCCCCTCGAGGGTCCCTGATCCGATGGCTGAGAATCTTCGCAGGTTTGACAGAAGGCTCGGCAAGCGGTCAGATGTTCGGGTTCGCTCGATGACGTGGTAATTTACCAGTGCTGGCGATGTATGATCGAAGTAACCGCACGTAGAATGATGGGCTGACATTCCAGGTGGCGGGTAACAGTAGATGGGTCGTAACGGAAGATATCATGTGGCTGATGGTAAACGATCCACAGTAACGAGGGCAAAGTTTTGGGACGATGAGCAGTTGAAGGTTCTGGGTTTTGGTAAGTTACTGCTCGTCGATGTAGGTCGGCATTACGCTTAGAAATAACATTCGTGCGCTTAAAGGCTTCGGCTGCTCACTCCGGTGCATTATGTAATATTTTAGTGAACTGTTGGGCTCGGGGTACACGATTTTCGATGTTGGGTGTGATTGGAACTATAGGGTTTTGTCCGTAACTTAGGTAGAAATTGTGACTATCGGATAGTGGATGATGGGGCATTGTTATACGCAAACTCAATAACTGGCAATTGTTGCTCCCAATCGGCCACATCATCGCAGGTGTCGCGAATCAACTGCTCTATCATTTTATTGGCCCGTTCGGTCTGTCCGTCGGTCTCAGGGTGGTAGGCAGAGGAGAATTGCAGGCGCGTGCCAAACTGTTCCCAGAGGTTGTGACAGAAATTGCTTGTGAATTTTGTGTCACGATCCGAAATGATGGCGGATGGGATCCCGTGAAGGCGAACGACGGTCAAGATGAAAATGCGGGCTGTTTCTTCGGCTGAGATGCTTTTCTTGCAGGCGGCGAAGTGAGCCATCTTCGTCAACTTATCGACGATGACAAATATCGCGTCATTGCAGCCGTCCTTGGCAGGCAGTCCTGTGACGAAGTCCATCGTCACCTGCTGTCTTACGCACGCTCGGACGGCGGAATTGACTACAACTGTCCAGTTGGCTTCTGCTTCGATGATTTCATGGTTTGGCAGGTTCTAAATGAAACCATATACCGCTGCACGTCCCCTTGCATGTTCGGCCAGAAATAATATGTGGTCAACTGCTGCCGTGTTTTCTCCACTCCGAAGTGCCCCGAAACGGCACTGTCATGGGCTTCTTGTAGCACTAGTTCCCGTAATAAACTGTACTCTGGAACCCAGATGCGGTTAGTCTTTGTCTTTACGTAATAGACTCCCTTAGCCATTGCAAGCTGTTCGTACGCAAGCGACGTAACGAATCTGTCCGCCTGGTACCCGTGGGTAAATAGTCATGTTAATAGCGGAGATGTTTGGGCGAGGACGATGGAGTTGAGATGGGCAGATGAGCGAGAAAGGGGGTCTATAATGTTTGATGCCCCTTTTTTGTAGGTGACCGTGTAGTGGAAATTGGATTCCATAAAATCCAACCACCGAATCTGTCGTGGGTTGAGCAGTGGCTGTGCGCGGATGTACTAGTCTGTCCATACTGACACGTCCGCGCCCGTCATGTAGCGCCGCCACACATTGAAGACATGCACAATCGCGAGCATCTCCTTGTCGTGTATCGGATACTTTCGCTCGTGCGGGTGTAAGTTCCGTAACTCGTACACGATTGGCTATAGACCTTCGCCGAATTCATGTAACAGTACTGCTCTGATGGCGATGTCGTTGTCGTCTGTGATTACTTCGAATTGATGGTGAGGATCGGCGATGCGAAGGACAGGGGCTGAGCATAGAAAAGTTTTGAGCGCGGAGAAGGTATCTTGCTCTTTCTCCCCCCACCTATACGCAATCCCTTTTCGCAACAGGTTAGTTAACGGTGCAATTACCCCCACCATATTCGGGATAAATCGTCAAACATATTTGACGAACCCTAAAAAGCTTTACAACTCCTATAGGTTCTTAGGTGGCAGCCATGCTTGCACTGTCTCGATTTTGCGCGGGTCCATTTCGACGCCCTTAGTGGAAGTAACGTGCCCCAAAATTCTAAGTGGTCTTTTAAAAACTCGCACTTAGACCCATTCATGAGGAGCCGATGCTCCTGCAGTAATGTGAAAAGTGCTTAAAGACCCTTTAAGTGCTGCTCACGGGTCTTGCTTTAGATTAGTTTGTCATCCAGGTAGACTAAAATACGCTTATCTACAAACAAACTGAAGATCTGGTTCATGATAACCTGAAATTGCGCCGGGGCGTTCGTCAGACCGAAGGGCATAACTACATACTCGAAACTCTCGCACCTAGTACAAAACGCGGTCTTGTGACAGCGGTCAAAAGATCGTTCCGATGGCAATCCCTCAGGCAGGTCGTCTTGAAATATATGCAAAAATCTGCGAATCAGCTGCGCTAGATCGGCCGACACTGCTGCTGTCAGCTTCTCTAAATCAGACGGCTACGACGCCACGTCGATGGAGTGAACGACTACAACGAAGACTTCAGCGCCCCTTGCGACTGCTCCTTTGATTGCCACGGAGTTCACCTTCGCCACTCCCCTGTGATCCCCTTCGTCCATTCTGGTAGCATCACACTAGGGCCGTTGATTCTGATGGAACAACTGCCAGTCGTCCAGTCAAATTTTGGATTGAAGCGTCGCAGCCAATCCCGTCCCTACAACATGTCGAAGCTGTTGACTGTAGTTGTCAGCATCCCTATTGAAAATTTGAATTGAGCTCCATAGCGTACCCTAATCCTGTTCGCCCTGTCTTTTATTGCTAATGGGGTCCGGTCGACTAGTTGGGCATCAATCTCTGGTACTCGATGAGGGTTGTCGGTCACAGGTGAGCAGGTTCCATCAGTAATAGGCACATAAACTACTGATACTAAGTTTTTCCCTGACCGCTAGAACTCCCATGCCCTCGATTTCGCTTCTTCTGCTCCTCTGGGCATTCTAATGTACAGTGTTTTGGCCTGTTATATCCAAAACAACGACCTTTGAAGGGTGTAACTGCTAAGTTCGATGTTGTAACAGCTTGTATAGTGGCACGATCGATTGGTTCCCGAGTGCGACTTCCGTCATAAGAACCCGCCATTGGCTTGAAGAACGAATCCAACCGCTCCGCAATCCTCTGCGCCTCCGTCAAATCCATAATATCTATGACTTGTATTTCTCTGCGCAGATGCGGTCGAAGTCCCCCGATGTATCTGTCGAATTTCTCGCTAGGGTGAATGTAGCGGACCTGGTCGCATAATTTTTTGAAGCTGTTGGTGTAGTCCTAGATCGATCAGAGTTGGCGCCACGTGCAAAGGCGGTCACGCGCTTGGCTGCGTGCGTTGACGTGTTCGAAGCGGCGATGAATTCCCGCGCATCACGATTGCCACATGCTGTACTCGTCCACCCCGCAAGACATGCCCAATGATTCGTCATACGAAAACGCCCGATCACGCGTGACGTCATATCCGACACCTACGGTGCGCTGGCACTACGAACAAAGTCGTGGCTGTAGGTAATCATCAATTAATATTACCAAGACAACGGATATGCAGTAAGCACAGGGCGTCAGCCTCCCTAAGTGTCGGCATTGTAACAGAACTAGAATGCAAGGCTTAGGATCGTTGGCTCTGATGGCCGGGTGTAATGAAGCACAACGAGCATGTGTCGAAGGATTGAGTAACGAGGAAAACAATACAACTGATGCAACATAAAAAACAACAAGGAGTATGGATATAGCTAGCCTGGAGCACACGGTCGTGGCTCGGCAGAGCTGCGACGTGTGATCCGTAAATTGGCGCGAAGCGTCCAGATCTAGGCATGAAACAGCAAGGCGGGAAAAATGCATGCGGCTCGTCAGGAGGCCACATTTGGGTACCGCGATTTGAATTTCGTGGCAGAGCTGCGCAGCAACCCCTTTACAGCATGTACGCCGTACTAACTAAAACCCTGATAATGAAATACCATTTCCTTATAGGAATACAACCAGGGACGAGCTGTATCACATAGGCGGGTGTACTAACTCCATACAAGATTCCGAAAACTGCAGAACTTCGCGAGCGATCCCCCTATTCTCCTAAGGCTGTCCTCCACCATAGCTCGTCTATTAGGAGAATAGCCGCTGCTCGAAGCGCATCCACATTGAGCTACTAAAGTGGAGTCACTAACCCGTATTTTTCCGCTAGCCTTGGATAGGAGAGTAGGCTTGTGCCTGATTAGCTCTCGTCTCGCCTTCAGGAGTTATTTTGTGATTCCGAGCCAAGCTCTGTGCACGTTGTCCATCGTGTATCCTTCTTTCGAGAGAGGAGGTTAATTAGGAATCACAGTGGTAGTCCTGTCGAGGTTGAAACGGTGACAGTCGGAGTTCCCTTTTAGGGTTCCGTCCAGATTTGATCTCTTCGTTCTTTCAGTCTCAGTTTCGAAGTCTCGGATCGGCAGATCGCTGCTTGCGAAGGCCGTAGCAAGCCAGAAGAGGAGAATTCACTCGCCTGGCGAATTCGCGAATGGACTAGTCCAGGTGGTAACTCGCTCTTCGTCGCACCCGAATTCGCGAACTCATGGACGTGGATCCGCTGCCAGGTCCGTCCAGAGGTTCCGTGCGAGCAGCAACCGACGGAGCACCGGGATTCGTTGGCGGAAACGGCAGCACCCGAGGAGCAGCGAGCACTGTTGGGCTGAAGAATGGAGCGCAGACCAATTCCTCTGGACCACAGAAGAACTCAACTGGCGGCCCGCAGCAGGGAAGAAAGCTGGTCATAAAAGCCTTCAAAGGTACCCCCTTTTTAGTCACACCTGCCGGATTCGTGATGGTTCCCCTGTTTCGCCTCACTCTTCCTTGTCCTCTCCCCATCAGACTCATCAAACATCTTCTACCCTAACGAGGTGACTTTTGAGTCGACTCAAAAGTCTCCCCATCAGATTTATCAAACATCTTCTACCCTTCCAACCCCTTTCCCCGACTTCCCGTTTCTCTCTCTCTCTGGATTTACCCTGCCACCGCACCCCTCTGCACCCCTCCACACCTCGGTCTTCCCAATTATGAAAATTCCCGTCTCCCGAGATCAGCACTCTGGACCCTTCACCTCTTACCCACTGAATTCGCCTTCAATCCGGAGCCTGTACTCGTACCTTTTGTCGCCAGCAGTCCCTCGAATTGGCTCTTAGCCTTCATCTCCTGCATCTCTAAATTTGGAGGTTTCCTTAATCTGGTATTCTCCATTCCCTCTTCCTTCCCTCCCCGCTTGATCCGCACTAACCCCTGTCCTCCCTCTCCTCCCGCTCTATCCCCGCCCACCAGCCAAACCGCAGCTGCCTCCAGATTACGAGGAGACGACATGGGCGAAGCTGAGGGAGGCGGTTACCGCCATTCACGAAAAACGCGCGGTTTCGTGCAGCCTGGAGGAGCTATACCGGGTGAGAGAGGGGGGCTAGGTATGCTGGGTGAGATCAGAGAAATTAACCAGGTGACTGTACCAGGGGACTGCAAGCCAAGTGCAAGTGATATTCTGGTTTTGTCTATCTCTACACTCATCCCATTCCTCTCTCCACCCTTCAACCCCCTGCAGGCAGAGGGTCTTTGCCTCCACAAGATGGCAGCGGGCCCCTACAACCGCCTGCAAGCCGAGTGCGACCGACACCTTGCAGCCAAACTCCAGCTACTGCTAGCTGAAGGCTCCCCTTTGATATATGTCTCTCTTCCCCTCCCCCTCCTCCTCCCCTGCAGGCAGTGGAGGGTCTTTGCCTCCACAAGATGGCAGCGGGCCTCTACAACCGCCTCCAAGCCGAGTGCGACCGACACATCGCAGCCAAGCTGCAGCAGCTGCTAGCCGAGGGCTCCCCGGACCCAGTGCTCTTCCTGGAGCACGTGGCTGCCACGTGGCGCGATTTCTGCGAGCAGATGCTGATGATCCGATCCATCGCGCTGTATCTGGACCGCACGTTCGCCATGCAGGGGGGTGCAGGGGGTGCGGGAGCGGGGGGCAAGGCGGGTGTGCAGTCGCTGTGGGACATGGGGCTGCGGCTGTTCCGCACGCACCTGGAGGGTGTGCCGGAGGTGGAGAGGCGGACTGTGCAGGGGCTGCTACAGCTTATCGAGAAGGAAAGGTGGGCATTCTCTACAAGACTGGGACTGGCTGTGTGTGAAAGGCTAGGGTAAGCTGGCTGGGGGCGGGCGTGCAGTCCCTGTGCGACATGGGACTGCGTTTTGAGGCGCCTCAAAACTAGTCCCTGTGCGACATGGGACTGCGTTTTGAGGCGCCTCAAACTAGTCCCTGTGCGACATGGGACTGCGTTTTGAGGCGCCTCAATACTAGTCCCTGTGCGGCATGGGACTGCGTTTTGAGGCGCCTCAATACTAGTCCCTGTGCGGCATGGGACTGCGTTTTGAGGCGCCTCAATACTAGTCCCTGTGCGACATGGGACTGCGTTTTGAGGCGCCTCAAAACTAGTCCCTGTGCAACATGGGACTGCGGCTGTTCCAGGGGCACCTGGTCCTGGAGGACGAGGTGGACAGGCGGACGGTTACCGGGCTACCGTACCTTATTGAGAAGGACACGACACGTGGGTATTTCTAAAAGACTGGCTATGTCTGAAAGGCTGGGGTAAGGTGTCTCGAGGGTTGGAGTGCAGTCGCTGTGGGTGGGTGGGACATGGGGCTGCGGCTGTTTAGCACGCACCTGGAGGGGGTTCCTGAGGTGGAAAGGCGGACGGGAGGGAAAGGAAGGAAGGGAGCGGCTGATTGTGAAGGAAAGGTGGGTCAAGGTGGGAGGGGATGGTCTAACGTTAAGTCATGCAGGCGTGGGGGGAGTGGGTGGGCAGGCGTGCAGTCACTGTGGGACATGGGGCTGAAGCACCTGGAGGGATGTTTTGAGAATATTAGAAAATCATTTGCAACTTTGGGAGGTGTCGAGGCTTCCCTCTTCTACTTACAGCCTCATTGTTGTCCTGCTTCCCTAACGGCACAGATCCGGCGACACGGTGGACTGCTCCCTACTGAAGAACCTGGTGGGCACTGGGCATGTTCTCAGCGCCGCCTCTGGGCATGTTCAATCTGCGCTTTGCTCCCAATCCCCCCTTGCCCTGCCACCTTGTCTGTCCAGATCCGGCGACACGGTGGACCGCTCTCTCCTCAAGAACCTGGTGGGCATGTTCTCGGCGCTGGGCATCTACAGCAGCAGCTTCGAGCGGCAGTTCCTGGAGGAGACAGCGGAGTTCTACGGCGCAGAGGGCAACAGGTTCATGCAGCAGACGGACGTCAGGGACTACCTGAAGCTCGTGGAGGTACGTTGTGGATGAACCAAAGCACACATAGAGTTGATGGAGAGGCAGTTGCTGGAGCCGATGAGGAGGGTCATGGTGCCAAGGGGAATCGGCTCGAGCGGCAGGTTCTTGCAGCACAGCACACGGACGTGCGGTCCGTGGAGGTCAGTCCTACGTAGAGCTTGTGGAGGTCAGTTGCTTGGCTGAACCAGAATCACACAGAGCGTCTGGCAGTTCCGGAAGGAGTCGGGGGAGTTGTAGTGGGAGGGCAACAGGTTCATGCAGCAGACGGACGTGCGGGATTATGCAGCAGACGGACGTGCGGGATTATGCAGCAGACGGACGTGCGGGATTATGCAGCAGACAGACGTGCGGGATTATGCAGCAGACGGACGTCAGAGCTAATCTGAAGCTCGTGGAGGTCAGTGCTTGGCTGAACCTTCCGCAGACTCGGCTGCAGGAGGAGAACGACCGGTGCGTGCACTACCTGGCCAGCAGCACGCGCAAGGCACTCATTGCCATGTCCCCTCCGCTCCTGCACTCCCCTTGCCCCCTAACCTCCTCCCTCTCAGACTCGGCTGCAGGAGGAGAACGACCGGTGCGTGCACTATCTGCCCAGCAGCACGCGCAAGGCGCTCATCGCCACCACTGAGGCGCAGCTGCTGGAGAAACACACAGGGGCGATCGTTGATAAGGTATGGGGCTTAGATGGGTTACCCCGTATCCGGTATGGATTGGGTTGGGAGGGGCATTTGACATGCGCAAGGCGCTCATCGCCACCACTGAGGCGCAGCTGCTGGAGAAACGCACAGGGGGCGATTGTGGATAAGGTGGGCGATCGTGGATAAGGTGGGCGATCGTGGATAAGGTGGGTGATCGTGGATAAGGTGGGTGATCGTGGATAAGGTGGGTGATCGTGGATAAGGTGGGTAAAGCACTGTTTTGTAAGTCGGCTAGCTGACTGGGGTGCACTGTTTGCAAGTCAGCTAGCTTCCTCCAGGGCCCACATTACCACTTCTTTGGGATGTAGTATAGTTTTTGAGAAGCTAGCTCCCTCTGGTAGCCAGTGAGGCGACCTGCACCGCATGTACCTCCTCTTTGGGATACAGCATAGTTTTTTAGAAGTCTCTAAACTAGATTATAATCACCGCATGTACATCCTCTTTGCCCGTGTCAATGCCCTCGACCTGGGTACCCTCCGCATGGCGCTCTCACCGCGTGGTTCCTGCTGCCCCGATGCGCCATTTCTGCTGCGTCTAACAGGGTTTTGGAATGCCCATGGAAGCGAGTGAGGGGGGCGATCTGCACCGCATGTACTTGCTGTTTGCGCGAGTGAACGCCCTGGACACGCTCCGCATGGCGCTATCAGCGCGCGTCAAAGCAGCCGGGCAGGCAATGGTGATGAATGTGGATAAGGATGGCGATATGGTGGCGGGCCTGCTGGACCTCACTCCCCACCGTCCACCTCCCACTTCTCTCTTTTTTTTTGTGTGAATGGCCCGTTGCCGCCCCCGTTTCCAGGGTTTCGGGATGCTGATGGAGGCTTCAGAGGCAGGCGACCTCCACCGTATGTATCTCCTGTTTGCGCGAGTGAATGCTCTCGACACGCTCCGCATGGCGCTCTCAGCGCACGTGAAGGCGGCCGGGCAGGCGATGGTGATGGATGTGGATAAGGACGGCGACATGGTGGCGGGGCTGCTGGACCTGAAAGCGAGGGTGGACCGGCTGTGGGAGGCGAGCTTCCAGCACAACGAGGCGTTCGGGATCGCGATCAAAGAGGCGTTCGAGAGTCTTGTGAACATGCGGCAGGTGGGTTTCTGGAGCGAGTTGGTGGTAAGTACATGCCGTTCTGGACCTGAAAGCGAGGGTGGACCGGCTGTGGGAGGCGAGCTTCCAGCTCAACGAGGCTTTTGGTATTGCCGTCAAGGAGGCGTTTGAGTGCCTGGTCAATATGCGGCAGGTACAAGTCTTGGGTTTCGGCTGGTGCCCTTGTTGTGTCTGGCTAAACACATCGTGATGCGCTGTAGTCGGCCAGTCAACACTGTAGTGGGTCAGTCTATAGGGGGTCAAGACACGCAATGGTCATGGACGTGGATGAGGACGGCGACATGGTGGTAGGGCTGCTGGACCTCAAGGCGCGGGTGGGCTTTGTAAGAACCCGCTGTGAGAACCCGCTGTGACCTCCTTGCCAGAACCGGCCGGCTGAGCTGATAACCAAGTTCATAGACAGCAAGCTGAGGGCGGACAACAAGGGGCTCAGCGACAAAGGGCCGGAGAGGCCTGAGATGCCTTACGACACTCCTATTCATTTAACTCTTGTGCACACCTTCCACCCTCCTTTCCTCCCAACCTACCAGAACCAGCCGGCTGAGCTGATAGCCAAGTTCATCGATGGCAAGCTGTGGGCGGGCAACAAGGGGCTCAGCGACGAAGAGCTGGAGAGGCCTGAGGTGGAGAGGCCTGAGGTGCCTCACAACACATCTTTAACCCTCCTGCACACCCATTCACACCTGCGTCTCATCCTCTTCCCGTACCCACCAACCAGAACCGGCCAGCGGAGCTGATCGCCAAGTTCATCGACGGCAAGCTGCGGGCGGGCAACAAGGGGCTGAGCGACGAAGAGCTGGAGAGCACCCTGGACCGCGTGCTCGTGCTGTTCCGATTCATCCAGGTGTGCAGAGCGGTGCATCCAGGTGCTGTGCGGTGCATCCAGGTGCTGTGTTCCTTCCGTGTGGTTCATGAAGGTGCCATGCGGTTCATTCTGGGGCTGTCATTTGAAGAGCTGGAGAGCACTCTGGACCGCGTGCTCGTGCTCTTCCGCTTCATCCAGGTGTGCAAAGGGCTGCTGTGGTCCGTCCACGTGTGTTCCAGGTGGATTCCTTGCTAGCACAGTTTATGTGCCTACAGATACATACATCCTGGAAACTACAAGTATGCATCCAGTACATCCTACTGGAATCACCTTCAGTGCGTCTGGTTGTCCATGTGTGATGGAGCACCAAGTAGGTGCCATGGTTTTAATACGTGGCAGCAACTTAGAATTTTACACCTGGAGAGTGCAAGTAGGGAATCACCTTCAGTGCGTCTGGTTGTCCATGTGCGCCTCTCTCCCTGCCTCCCCTTTCCTCGATTCTCTTTTGCCCCCCCAGCCCAGGGCAAGGACGTGTTTGATTTGAGGCGTTCTACAAGAAGGAAAGGACCTGGCGACGCGGCTTCTATCCTATAGACTTTGTCTCCAAGTCCTGCTCTCCCTAGAATTTTCACTTTACTCTTGTCATTGTCTCCTTCAAGGGAAACGACGTGTTTGAAGCGTCCTACAAGAAGGACCAGGCAAAGCGGCTGTTGCTGATGCTCTCTTCCTTGTCTCCCCTTGTCCCGCTGTCACTGTCTCACTGCCCCTTCGCCCCCTTGTCCTCTTCTCCCCTCCCAGGGCAAGAACGTGTTTGAGGCGTTCTACAAGAAGTACCTGGCGAAGCGGCTGCTGCTGATTTCTTCGTTGTTCCCCTGTCCCTCTGCCACTCCCTTACTGTATTACTGTCCCCTTGCCCCCTTCACTCCCTCCCAGGGCAAGGATGTGTTCGAGGCGTTCTACAAGAAGGACCTGGCGAAGCGGCTGCTGCTGGGGAAGAGTGCATCGATCGACGCTGAGAAGTCCATGATCAGCAAGGTGCGTGGTACATGTGTGGTGTGGGTGTGGTGTGGGTGTGGTGGTGTGGGTGTGTAGTGGGTGTGGTTGAGAGTGTGAGTTTGTCATGGGTGTGGGTTTGGGTGTGTAGGGTGTGTGTAGTGGGGGCTGCAGTGTGTTGCTGCGGAATCATCCTCTCATCATTCCCCTTCTTCCTTTCTACCCTCTCATCAGTTTCTTTCCACTGCTGTCTTAAGCCCTGACCCGACCCCCTCCTCCCCCCCTCCCCCTCCTCTGCACGCTTCCCTCTGAGCAGCTCAAGACGGAGTGTGGCAGTCAGTTCACCAACAGAGGTGGCTCTTGAGTTGACTCGAAGGTCACGTGTGCCATACCCTCCTCCTCCCCCCCCCCCCCCCCCCGGTTCCACGCTTCCCTCTGAGCAGCTCAAGACGGAGTGCGGCAGTCAGTTCACCAACAAGCTTGAGACTTCGAGTCCACTCAAAGCCCTGCTAGGTTTTTGGGATTTTTCGAAAACCCAACACAGCTCTATTCCCCATCCCCCCCCACACACTTCCCCCTGAGCAGCTCAAGACGGAGTGTGGCAGTCAGTTCACCAACAGAGGTGGCTCTTGAGTTGACTCGAAGGTCACGTGTGCCATACCCTCCTCCCCCCCCCCCCCCCCGGTTCCACGCTTCCCTCTGAGCAGCTCAAGACGGAGTGCGGCAGTCAGTTCACCAACAAGCTTGAGACTTCGAGTCCACTCAAAGCCCTGCTAGGTTTTTGGGATTTTTTGAAAACCCAACACAGCTCTATTCCCCATCCCCCCCCCTCCCCCCCCCCACACACTTCCCCCTGAGCAGCTCAAGACGGAGTGTGGCAGTCAGTTCACCAACAGAGGTGGCTCTTGAGTTGACTCGAAGGTCACGTGTGCCATACCCTCCTCCCCTCCCCTCCCCCCCCCCCGGTTCCACGCCTCCCTCTGAGCGGCTCAAGACAGAGTGCGGCAGTCAGTTCACCAACAAGGTTGAGACATCGAGTCCACTCAAAGCCCTGCTAGGTTTTTGGAAATTCTCGAAAACCTAACACAGCTCTATTCCCCATCCCCCCCCCTCCCCCCCCCACACACTTCCCCCTGAGCAGCTCAAGACGGAGTGCGGCAGTCAGTTCACCAACAAGCTGGAAGGCATGTTCAAGGTATGAGATGGTCTGGTCCCAGCAGCTCAAGATGGTATGGTGTCAGGTGTTCAAGGTCACGGTGTCAGGTGTTCAAGGTCACGGTGTCAGGTGTTCAAGGTCACGGTGTGGTGGTGAAAAGGTCACGGTGTCAGGTGTTCAAGGTCACGGTGTCAGGTGTTCAAGGTCACGGTGTCAGGTGTTCAAGGTCACGGTGTGGTGGTGAAAAGGTCACGGTGTCAGGTGTTCAAGGTCACGGTGTCAGGTGTTCAAGGTCACGGTGTCAGGTGTTCAAGGTCACGGTGTGGTGGTGAAAAGGTCACGGTGTGATGGTGAAAAGGTCACGGTGTGATGGTGAAGAGGTCACGGTGTGGTGGTGAAAAGGTCACGGTGTGGTGGTGAAAAGGTCACGGTGTGGTGGTGAAAAGGTCACGGTGTGATGGTGAAAAGGTCACGGTGTGGTGGTGAAAAGGTCACGGTGTGGTGGTGAAAAGGTCACGGTGTGGTGGCGAAAGGGTCACGGTGTGGTGGTGAAAAGGTCACGGTGTGGTGGTGAAAAGGTCACGGTGTGGTGGTGAAAAGGTCATGGTGTGATGGCGAAAAGGTCACGGTGTGATGGCGAAAAGGTGTCGGTGTGATGGTGAAAAGGTCACGGTGTGATGGCGAAAAGGTGTCGGTGTGATGGTGAAAAGGTCACGGTGTGATGGTGAAAAGGTCATGGTGTGATGGTGGCTGTTGGGAGAATGGCAGTCAGCTCACCAGAGCATTGGCACTTCCCCCCTGACTCCCCACTCTCCCCCCCTTCTTTCTTCCCCTCCCCCCCCCAGGACATCGAGCTGTCGAAGGAGATCAACGAGTCGTTCCGGCAATCATCGCAGGCCCGGGAGAAGCTTCCAGCTGGCATCGAGATGAGCGTGCACGTGCTCACCATGGGGTGAGTGCTCAGCTGCGTTATCCAGCATTGACCATGTTTGACCATGGAGTGCTGGTTTGACCAGCGTTGACCATGTTTGACCATGGTTGATGCTTGACCATTGAGTGCACAAAATGATTGACTTAAAATCTGTCGTGTGGGAGAGACTACAGCACAGAAAGTCATCCAGAGAGGGTTTGTTTTGAGACGCCTCAGAACAAACCTTATGTCAGGTTAAAGCACAGAAAGTCATCCAGAGAGGGTTGCACAGGCTACAGCGTCTGTCCATCCAGCCACGCCTTCTCTCCTCAATCTTTTTCTCCCTCTCTTCCTCCACCTCCGTTTCCCCCTACCTTCAAACCTTCAAACCCACACAGTTACTGCCCCCCGCCCCCCCCCCCCCCCTTTTCCGAGATACAGCTACCCCAGGAGCTAGGCGTTGACTAGGGCTTTTTCAGAGACTTCGATGCTTCTTTCTTGCTCCCCTCCTCCCTTTCTGCTCCTCTTCCCCAATCCCCTTCCCACATAAACAGCTACTGGCCCACATACCCACCGGTGGAGGTATAGCTACCGCGTGAACTGGGCGTGTACGAGGACGTACTCCTCTCCTGCCTTCATCCTTCCTCCTTCCCCTCTTGTACCAGGACGTACTCCTCTCCTGCCTTCATCCTTCCTCCTTCCCATTCTCCAAAACGCCTAGCTACTGGCCTACATACCTGCCATTAGAGGTGCAGCTACCATGCGAGCTGGGCGTCTACCAGGACATATTTCAGGATGATCAGTTCATCCCTCTTTCCCCTCTCCTCCCCGCTCCTCTAAAACATTTTGCAGCTACTGGCTCCCATACCCGCCAGTGGAGGTGCAGCCACCCCGTGAGCTGGGTGTGTACTAGGACATACTCACAGACTTCCACCTTTTCTTCTTCCTATGCCCGTTCATTACCTCTCTCCCCTTCCGACATAAACAGCTACTGGCCCACGTACCCGCCAGTGGAGGTGCAGCTGCCCCGAGAGCTGGGCGTGTACCAGGACATATTCCGGGACTTCTATCTAGGCAAGCACAGCGGGCGGCGGTTGATGTGGCAGCACAGCCTGGGGCACTGCGTGGTGCGGGCTGACTTCCCCAAGGGGCGCAAGGAGCTGTCCCTCTCGCTCTTCCAGGTGCGTGCTTCGAGGCTTTGAGGGGCGTGCGTGCTTGGAGGATTTGAGGCTTTGAGCGGCGTGGGAATGATAAGTGCATGCTTTGAGGCGCGTGGGAGTGAAAGGTGGTGCGTTTTGAGGCTTTGAGGCCCATGGGAGTGAAGGGGGCACAGCAGCAGGGCGGCTGATGTGGCAGCACAGCCTGGGGCACTGCGTGGTGCGGGCCGACTTCCCCAACAGGCGCAAGGAGCTAGCGTGCTGGCTCTTCCAGGTGCGTGCTTCGAGGCTTTGGGGCTTATCTACCTGATTGCACCATACCCGCCAGACCATGGTGCTAATGCTGTTCAACAGCGCTGACCGCCTGCCCTAGGTGAAGATTCGACCCCCCTCGCCCCTCGCACCATTCCCTCCCCTCTTTTCACCTGCCAGGCCGTGGTCCTAATGCCCCCTCCCCCCCTCTTCCTGATCTGTTCTCATTCCCCTCCTCTTTTCTGACCTAATTGCACCACACGCACCAAACGGTGGTCCTAATGCTGTCCAGTGACGCCGACCGCCTGTCCTTTGCTGAGAGCTATACTTTCTTTCCCATCCTACCCTTCCTCCCCCCCCCCCTCCCCCCCACTTAACCGCATCTCTCTGCGCCACACCAGACGGTGGTGCTAATGCTGTTCAATGATGCCGACAAGCTGTCCTTTGCTGAGATCCGGGACGCCTCGGGAATCACGGACGCTGAGCTCAAGCGCACACTGCAGTCGCTGGCATGCGGCAAGACGAGAGTGCTGCAGAAGGTACGTCACATGTGGTGGTCCCGTGCGTGTGCTACTGGTATCTCAAAGGCCCCTGGACAAACGCTTCGGGGATCACCGACGCTGAGCTCAAGCGCACGCTGCAGTCGCTGGCATGTGGCAAGACGCGAGTGCTGCAGAAGGTATGTGGTGGTCCCGTGCGTGTGCTACTGGCACCTGAAAGGTCCCTGGACAAACGCTTCGGGGATCACCGACGCTGAGCTCAAGCGCACGCTGCAGTCGCTGGCATGTGGCAAGACGCGAGTGCTGCAGAAGGTATGTGGTGGTCCCGTGCGTGTGCTACTGGCACCTGAAAGGTCCCTGGACGGATGCTACGGGGATCACGGACGCTGAGCTCAGGCGCACCCTGCAGTCGCTTCCTTTTACCCCGCATTTGAGTCGACTCAAATGCTTTCTCAACCACACGGACGTCCTCCCTGCACTGCGTCCCCCTCCGTTCCCTTCCTCGTCGTGTCACTCACACGATGCATGTTGTGCTGCTGCAGATGGATGGAGTCAGGCCCCTAAAGAATAGACTCCTTTTGAGGTGCCTAAAAATAGCATTCCTCGTCGTGTCACTCACACGATGCATGCTGTGCTGCTGCAGATGGAGTCAGCCCCCTAAAGAATAGCCTTCCTCGTCGTTTCACCCATGTGACGCATGTTGTGCTGCTGCAGATCCGATGTGTCTGACTCTGATCGATGAGGCGCTTAAAAATAGACACCGCACTGCACCCCTCCCCTTCCCTTCCTCATCCTTTCACCCACCCATGTGATGCATGTTGTGCTGCTGCAGATCCCCAAGGGTCGCGATGTGTCCGACTCTGACTCCTTTGAGTTCAACACGGATTTCACGGCGCAACTCTTCCGACTCAAGGTGAGAAATTTTGAATCCAGGTGAGAAATTTTGAATCCAGGTGAGAAAATTTTCATCTCAATGCAGGAAATTTTGAATCAAGGTGAGAAAAAATCCGTCTCAATGCAAGACCAACGAGGGAGGTGAGATGAGATGGGGGGGCTGCTTGTGTGGCGTGTCCCACTTTGCTACAGTGTGGGCAACCGGTGTAAGACTAGCGCTGAACATGCGACTTTTGAGTCGACTTGAAAGTCACCGCGTTACAGTGTCACACGACAAGCTTGGGCGTGTGTGCGTGTCACACGACAAGCTTGGGCGACCGGTGTAAGATTAGTGCTGAACATGCAGAGAGCGCATACATGGGGTGTGTTCGATTTGTGCTGGCTTGGTGTTGTAATGAGTGCACAACGTTCACTGGATGTGACACTTCATGAAATGAGGATATATGTTACACTTCTCGTGTGTGATACAATGCATTTGTTTGTTGCACGCCTCTCGTGTGTGCTCTGCTGGATAATTGCTTGATGCATGGTGTACATGGTGGTGTGATTGTAGGTGAACGCCATTCAATTGAAGGAGACGCCAGAGGAGAACACCAACACCACTGAGAGAGTCTTCCAGGACAGGCAATACCAGGTACTCGTTATAGGCAATGTCAAGTACTCGTTATAGGCAGTACCAGGTACTCGTTATAGGCAATGTAAAGTACTCGTTATAGGCAGTATCAGGTACTCGTTATAGGCAGTACCAGTTACTTGTTATAGGCAGTACCAGGTACTCATTATAGGCAATGCCACTCGTTACAGGCAATTCCAGGTACTCGTTTTAGGCAGTTCCAGGCAGTCGTTGTAGGTAATGCCAGGTACTAATTATAGGCAGCACCATGTACTCGTTGTAGTATATACCAGGTACTCGTCATTGGCATCACTAGGTACTCGTTATAAGCAATATCAAGTACTCATTTTCAGCCATACCCTGTGATCCCCCTCCAATAACCTCCGATGGACGCCAGATTGACGCTGCCATCGTCCGCATCATGAAGACGCGCAAAGTGCTCAGCCACACGCTGCTCATCACCGAGCTATTCCAACAGGTATGCATTCTCGGATGATTGCACACACAAACAGGGAGGTAGAAGGGGGAAGAGAGGGGCCGCTCTTCCAACAGGTGAAGTCATGCATGAAGGCGCGCCAAGTGCTGAGCCACACTCTGCTCATCACCCAGCTGAGTTGTTTTTTTTTTACATCCCAAAAGGTATTGTAGTCATGCATGCCTGCTGTTGTCCTCTTGGCTTCTGTTCTCTGTTTTCCTCCTCTTGGTTACTGCCTTTCCCTTTGCTGGCATGCGTGCATCCATTCATCCATCCGTCCATCCATCCATCCATCGATCCATCCATCCATCCATCCATCCATCCATCCATCCATCCATCCATCCATCCATCCATCCATCCATCCATCCATCCATCCATCCATCCATCCATCCATCCATCCATCCATCCATCCATCCATCCATCCATCCATCCATCCATCCATCCATCCATCCATCCATCCATCCATCCATCCATCCATCCATCCATCCATCCATCCATCCATCCATCCATCCATCCATCCATCCATCCATCCATCCATCCATCCATCCATCCATCCATCCATCCATCCATCCGTCCGTCCATCCATCCACCCATTCACCCATCCATCCTCTATGCGTATGAGAAAACTGCCAAAATTGCCTCATGGTCGCGTGCAGCTCAAGTTCCCTGTCAAACCTGTTGATCTGACATCTTCTGTATGGTTGTGCTCATCTTCTGCCTGTGTCTGTCGGTGCATGTGTCTATCTGTCTCTGTGCCTTTCTGTGGCTGTTTCTCTGTGTGCACATGCGCAGCTCAAGTTCCCCATCAAGCCAGCAGACCTGAAGAAGCGTATCGAGAGCCTGATCGATCGGGAGTACCTGGAGCGGGACAAGAGCAACGCGCAGATCTACAACTACCTCGCTTAATTTCTTAATGGACTGCAGCACTGCATTGCATTCGTAGACCATGAGGCAGTTTTCTCAGGGTGCTTTTGAGAATCTTTAAATAAAAAACACTGAGTGTGGATTCCAGCAATGGATGATCATACCACCTTGAGGCTGTTTTAGTCAAAATAGCAGAATGAATCAGAACAAGGTAGTACAGTAGAGAATATAGGGTTGGAGTTGTACCCTCTATGAACACAAACCTATATAGTGTATAACTTTTACACATAAGCATATGTATAAGTTGACACACCGCCTAGGGTAGATAAGGGGCAGTGCTGAGCAAGAAACACGCAACTCAGGGTGGCACTACTAGTCCAACCTCTGAGGTAAGGGTCCGAAGACCAGTCAGCAAGAGACTCGACAGAGCAAACCAGGGCGGCACTACTAGTCCGGCCACTGGAAGAGAAGCCACAAGGCCAGTCAAGAAGGTATATATAAAGAGGAGTACACAATCGACGTCCTAGCAAGTGAGGAGCTACAGGAACTAGACCAAGCTGTACACAGTGCCGCTGATGATCTTTAGGCGCAAGCGCCATAGTAAAGATATCAGCTGTGTTGGCACCTGAGGCCAAGTGTACTACGCGGGCCTGGCGGCGCTGCTGTAGCTCGCGCAGAAGGAAGTACAGCAGCTGGATGTGCTTCGCTCTGCCCTCGAGTCGACGCTCCTGACACAGGAGGATCATGGCCATGTTGTCAGCGTACAGGACCAGGGCAAAGTTGGGCCACTCACCTAAGTCGGTGAGCAAGAAAGTTAGCCAGCGGAGCTCCTGTGCCGCCATGGCGCCGGCATAGATCTCAGCCTCACAGCTAGACTGGGCAACAAACGAGGAGCGCGAGGACCTCCACGTGATGGCACCTGAACCAAGGCTAAAGCAGTAGCCCTGGGAGGACCTGAGTGTCTTAGCATCGTCTGCCTACGAAGCGTCTGTGTGCCTAGTAAGGACCATAGGCCTGCGTCCTCCCAGCACGAATCCCATGCCCGATATACTTGCTAGATAACGCTTAACCCTCTTAGCGGCCAACCAATGCTGTGGTCAGTGTCTGCATAACGCCACAAAGCGAGCCAGGATGCTGAGAGGGTATGCGAGTGCAAGTCATCAGGTACATGAGGCAACCCACCGGCCTCAGACAGGAATGCAAGTTCGTACTGCCTGTCCTCTAGGACGTCACTGCCAAGGGCAGGAGCACCCTCGACGGACAGAGGACGGACAGGGTCATAGACCAGAGCGGTGGCGTAGTCAAGGCGGCGGGTAGAGGCAAAGTTAGTGACGGCAGCGACAAGAGCGTCATGACTCGAGACAGGAACAGACGGGTCGTTAACGAGGGTAATCACACAGAGGAGGCGGAGTGACAATGAACGACGACAGAGGAGGCAAGGGGAGGCGGGGAGGACGAGACGCGTGGGAACGGAGTAACATGGGATGGGAGCGCTGGACAGGAGAGATAGGACGAGCGAGAGAGGGACGGCAAGACCAGAAGTGGGACGGAGACATCGGGTCAGGAGACACAGGAGGATTAACAGGAGGGGAACGAGGGGGGAAACGAGTCGGGGATGAGTCCGGCGGAGGAAACACAGGACCGTAGACAGAAAGGGAAGGAGGCGGCGGGGGAGGTGCAGGCGAGTGGTCAGGGGAGGGAAGGCCGAGCAGGCGAAGGGCGGACACCGGCGGTGACTGCTGCTGTTGCTGCTCCACGCCGACACCTGGAACGCCAGCTGCACTACGGCTACCTCCGGAACACTCCACTCCAGCACCCCCAAAACGAGAATCCTCTCCAGCACTGGTACCACCCACAGGACCGACGGGACAAGCCACGATAGGAACCCCAGGACTAGCACCTTCCTCAACGCCCTCACCCCCAGAGTCCACAGACGGCTGCTGCTGCGACGGCGGCGACGGCGGCTGCTATGGCTGCGACGACGGCTGCGGCTGCTGCTGCGGCGGTGATGGCGGCGGCTGCTGCGACGGCGGGGGAGGAGACACCGAGGGAGCAACAGTCCGCGAGAAACGCGCCGCGGGTTCACCAGAGTTAGCCGACTGCTTGACCGGGCCAACCGACAGGAGGAGAGTGACGTGAGGGACACCAGACGGAGCAGGACGGGAAAGGAGGGGAGCAGGGGCTACCGAGGGAGTGGGTACCAGAAACAGGGGCGGGGAAACCGGGAGACCTCGGTGAGGAAAGCGGTGATAGAAGGAGATGGACTCGTCCAAAATGACGTCACGCGAGTGAAAGAAGCGGTAAGATGGCGGGTGGTAAAAGTAACAGTCTGACGAGTCAAGGGGGAAACGAAGGAAGACACAGGGGACAGTGCGGGCAATGAGCTTGTCCGTGCTAGAGGCACGAACGTGAGCAAGGCAGCCCCAGACGTGGAACGCGGACGCGTCACCAGACAACCTGGTCCAGAGAAGGGTCGGCGAAACCTGCGGCCGCTGTGAGTGCGGCCACAGGTTAAGCTGGTGAGCGGCGTAGCGAACCGCGAACGTCCACAGAAAATGGGGTGCACCGGCATGGATCATTGAGGTACCAGCGACCTCCATGACCAAACCGATGCGTCGCTCAGCGACCCCATTCTGCTGATTTTGGTCAAGTGCCATTCAGCTCCCTCACACAGCCCCCAGAACGCGTTGGCCTTCAATTTTTGTGAAGGGCCAGTCAGCTCCCTCACACAGCCCCCAATACACATTGACCTTAGATTTTGGTGAAGGGACAGTGAGCGCCCTCACAAAGCCCCCTAGCAAGCATCACGCATTGATTATGGCTAAGGGCCAGTCACCGCCCTCCCCCACAGGGGTACCAGCGCAAATCACGCTCCCCCCAAATCTCGATATTACACCAAATCAGAGTCAACCCCCAATATAGGGTTGATGCATCAAAGTGTCAAACATGTGTATCTCCTATATTTGCATAGACTGTATAGGGCCACCTCTTAGAGAGTACAACACTTAGGTATATTCACCTGTACTCTCTCTCTACTCAATCATTCACTTCTCACTTTAACATGGTATCACGCGTATGTTAGAATCCCCCACCTACCACTTTCGCCCGTACCCTAGCTAGGCCCCGCCGCGCCCCTCCCCCCCCCCCCCCCCCCCCCCCCCCCCCCCCCCCCTGAGGCCCCGTCGCGCCTCCTAGCCCCGTCGTGCCCCTCCTGGGCCCCGTAGCGCCTCCTAGCCCAGTCGCGCCCCTCCTGGGCCCTGTCGCGCCCCTCCTCGGCCCCGTCGCGCCCCCTAGCCCCGTCGCGCCCCTCCTGGGCCCCGTCGCGCCCCCTAGCCCAGTCGCGCCCCCCTAGCCCCGTCGCGCCCCTCCTGGGCCCCGTTGTGCCTCCTAGCCCCGTCACGCCCCTCCTGGGCCCCGTTGTGCCTCCTAGCCCCGTCGCGCCTCCTAGCCCCGTCGCGCCTCCTAGCCCCGTAGCGCCCCTCCTGGGCCCCGTCGCGCCTCCTAGCGCCCCTCCTGGGCCCCGTCGCGCCTCCTAGCCCTGTCGCGCCCCTCCTGGGCCCCGTCGCGCCCTGCCTGGCCCCGTCGCGCCCTGCCTGGCCCCGTCGCGCTCGCCTGGCCCCGTCGCGCCCTGCCTGGCCCCGTCGCGCCTGCCTGGCCCGGCCGCGCCTGCCTGGCCCCGCCGCGCCTGCTTGGCCCCACCGCGCCTGCCTGGCCCCGCCGCACCTGCCTGGCCCCTCCGCGCCTGCCAGGCCCCACCGCGCCTGCCTGGCCTCGCCTCTACCCGCCGCCTTGACTACGCCACCGCTCTGGTCTCTGACCCTACCTGTCCTCCGTCTGTCGAGGGTGCTCCTGCCCTCGGCAGTGACGTCCTGGAGGACCGCCAGTTCGAGCTTGCTTTCCTGTCCGAGGCTGCTCCCCATCTCTGTTCCATGCTGCTAGTCCCTGAGGGTGACCCAGACGCTTTTGACATCCCGACCCCTCGCACTTACGCTGAGGCGACCTCGGGACCTTGGGCCTCGCAGTGGATAGCTGCCATGGAGCAGGAGATGGCATCTTGGAGATCCACCGGCACCTTCGTCGACGCTGTTCCCCCGCCTGGGGTGAACGTAGTCGATGGCCGCTGGCTCTTCAAGGTGAAGCGCCCTCCTGGAGAGCCGCCTGTATTCAAGGCGCGCTATGTGGCTAGAGGTTTCAGTCAGCGTGAGGGGGTGGACTTCTTCCAGACCTTCGCTCCGACCCCGAAGATGACTACTCTGCGGGTTCTGTTACACCTAGCTGCTCAGCGTGACTACGAGCTTCACTCCCTCGACTTCTCCACTGCCTTCCTTCAGGACAGCCTACACGAGCAGGTCTACTTGCGTCGCCCTCAGGGCTTTACTGGCACCTTCCCTCAGGGCCTACACTAGTAAAAAAATATGAGAATCAGCGTATGTACAAAAAGGTTCTCTGAAAAATCTGAGTAAGGTACAAAGAAAAATATTTGCAATTAGAGTACACCCCCAAAAAACTCTGAAAAAAAGTATGAATCGGAGTAAAAAGTCTGCAATTTGGGGGCCTGCATCGCACGTTCAGTTCCATTGAGATGCCAGAGCGGAGCCCATACAGGCAGTTCAGCACCTAAGAACTCCCTCAATTGGGCAATGTGACTAAACGGCACGCCTTTCCCCTCCCCTGTCACCACGCTCATCATTACCTACGCTGCAGCTCGACACAGCGTGCCCTGCATTAGTTCGGCACAGCGCGGCCCAAGCCAGCTCGGCACAGCGCGGCCCAAGCCAGCTCGGCACAGCGCGCCCAAAGCTATCTCGGCTCTACCGTGTCCAGAGCTCCCCCAATTGTGGAATATGGTTCGAGAAAGCGTCCTTCCTTCCCCTCCCCTGTCACGGCGCTGCCGTGTTCAATAGTGCGCCCTTCCGTTCCCTTGTGGCCGCGCTGGTCATCACCCATGGCGGCAGCTCAGCGTAGCACTCCAGCAGAGTGCTGTGGCGCCTCCGCAGACCCATCAGTACCGACGCCAGGATTCCCTCAACTGGGCAATGTGGCTCAAGAGAGCGTCCTTGCCCTCCCCTGTGACCGCGCTCGTCATCACCCGGCGGCAGCTCGGCGTAGCACTCCACCAGCTCGGTGCTGTGCTACCCCAGCACTCCCTCACTACCCCAGCAGTCCTCCCCTCCACTACCGCCGCCAGAACTCCCTCAGCTGGGCTATGTGGCTCAGCAGAGCATCTTTCCCCTCCCCTGTGACTGCGCTGGTCATCACCCACGGCGGCAGCTCGGCGTAGCACTCCGCCAGCTCGGCGCGGAAGAGGGCGGCGTTGACAGCTGGCGGCCGCCCGTTCTTCTTGGCCTTCTTGCGGCGGTCGCACTTGGTGAACACGACAGTGAGGGGAATCTGAGTGGGGGGGAGAAGGAGGGAGGAGATGGGAGTCAGGGGGATGAAAAACTACAGTCTGGGGAGTGGGGGTCTGTCTAGTGAAGGATGGATTGGGATAAGAGGATAGAAGAGGGGTTTGTAGGGGGGAGGTGCAAGGAGAGGTGTGAGGCTCGCCTCATTTATTTGATGGAGGAAAAGGGTTGTCCCATCAAATCACCTTGTTGCGTCCCAGCCAATCAAGCGCACTCCACGTCGATTGCTTGCGGCGGGGTGGTGGCATCCACCACCAGCAGCCCCTAGAGGTGCACCCGATACTGAAAAACCCCAGTGACCCACAAATAACCACCCCACCCACCTTGTTGCGTCCCAGCCAGTCAGCGCACTCCACGTCGATTGCTTGCGGCGGGATGGTGGCATCTACCAGCAGCAGCACGGTGAGCAGGTTGGAGCGCGAGGTGAAGTACGCCTTGGTGAGCTCGTTCCACTCCGTTCGAATGGCGTTGGGAGCAACTGCATAGCTGCAGAACGAGTGGGGGAGGGAACAGCAGCAACAGCAGCATGGTGAGCAGGCTGGAGCACGCAGTGAAGTACGCATTGGTGAACTCCTTCCACTCTGTTCGAAAGGCGTTGGAGGCCACAGCATATCTGTTAATGGCTCCCTATCTATAAGAGCCCCACTCACCCGTATCCCGGTCCCTATCTCTTAGAAATGGCTCCCTATCTATAAGAGCCCCACTCACCCATATCCCGGTCCCTATCTCTTAGAAATGGCTCCCTATCTATAAGAGCCCCACTCACCCGTATCCCGGTAAGTCCACCAGGTACCACGAGTCGTTGATTAGGAAGTGGTTTATGAGTTGAGTCTTGCCTGATGGGTCGAGATGTGGGGAGGGTGCGGGACGGGAGACGGAGGGAGACGGAGGGAGACGGAGGGAAAGGGGGGGAGACGGAGGGAAACGGAGGTTGGGGGGGGAGGGGAGAGGTGAGGACGATAGAGTGGTTCAAAACCATGCGCCACTCATGAACCCAGGTGTGTTTTGAGTCGACTCAAAACAAATCAAAACAAATCAAAACCACCCACCAGTCATGAACCCAGGGAGTTTGCCAGGAATTCCGAGCATTCCATTTCGGGAGTTGCGTATCCCTCAACGCTCCTAATCCCTTGAGCATGTGCCATGGTAAGACAGCCAGCCATTTGCGTATCCCTCTAGTTATCATGACGTCGGTGTGCCAGCAAAGCCTTCATTCAGAGGTATAATATGAGGTACTCAAAACCCACCTGGTTTCTTGGAGGTTTGCGCGAGCCCTTTATGGTTGGTCAACATATTGATCAGGGAAGATTTCCCGACATTGGATCGGCCAATCACAGCAAACTCCGGGATCTTGGTGTCCTTGGGGCATTGCGCCACGCTGCTGCTGCTCTTCACAAACACTGCCGTCTTTACTCTCGGAGCCTGCCGCCCCGGCGGCAGCACCAGACTGCCGGTGGACAGCTCCTGTGCTGACTCAGCGAGGGTCCGTTCCACGTCATCATCTGCTTCCCACTCTCCCTCTTCCTCTTCCTCCCACTCCCCTTCCTCTCCTTCCTCCCACTCCTCCTCATCCTCAAAACCCCCCTCGGTATAATCACTCCTCTGTTTCCCCACTGCTCTCGTTATAGGAACATCTCGATTCTCGAACTCCTGAATCACAGGTACCGCTCCTGCAGTGCCTTGTCGCTCTCGAACCTGCAGGGAATCAGGCTCGGAGCTTGCCGCCTTGTATCCTGGTTTCGGTCCGGCTCCTTGCTTCGGCGCTGGTTTGGTGGGAGGTTTGGAACGAGGCTTAGCAGCAGGTTTGGATTTCGCCCCAGCCTTGGGATTGCCGTGCGCTTGGCTTTTGCTTTTACTCTTGCTGCTGGTGCTTGCACCCTTCGATCCACTTTCAATCTTCTCCCCACCATTCTCACGACTGCTCATGCGGCTGCTGCTACCGCTGTTGCCACTGCTGCTGCTGCTCCCACCAAAGCCACGGCCGCCGCTGCTGCTGCTGCTGCTGCTTCTGGTGCTTGTTCTGGAGTCACCCAGATTAACACGGGCTGTTGCGCTGCTAGTTGCAAACACTGACAGGCCCGAAATCGGAGAAGATTTTATGGTCAGAAAGCTGTAGGAAGGGTGACAAATCCCTGGATCCACGGGAGGTTTTAGTGGTGAAAGAGGGTTGGGGTTTAAGGAAAGCACGAAGCTGAGGTGGCAGCCGAGAGGAGTCCCGGGACTGGCAAAAGCTGACGTGGCAAACACTGACGAGACAAAAGCTGACGTGGCAAACGGTGACGTGGAACGACCCAGAGGAGGTGACATTGCTGCAAAAGCAGCGCGAGTGTGTTGAAATTGGCCCAAGGGAATCCGCGGAGCCATGGCGTGATAGGGTTGGGAGACAGACGGGAGAGACGGGTATGAGGCAGTCCAGGGTCGGGGAGGATGAAACTGATTGGCGACGCAAGTCGCGAAAGGCGAGGGAAGTGGTAACCAGCCGGCGGGTTGATGAGCCGAAAAAGCCTTTTGAGGCACGCCTAAGGCCGCAAAGGCCGGCGACGTTGAAAAGGGAAAGGAGAAGCGGAAGGGGAAGGGGAAGGGGAAGGGGAAGCGGAAGGGGAAGGGGACGTAGCCAACGCGACCGCGTGAAGTTCCTCTAGGGGCGGAGTGACCGTTGAGCGGAACCAAGGTCGGGTGGTGCAGAGGACTTCTGGGGAGTTGGGAGGTGTGACCGCTGGGTGGCTGTTGGACGGCGGAAGCTTTTTTAGAATTCTCAAGAACTGGTGCTGATGCAATCGCGCTTCGAAGACGGGATTGTTCAAAGCGAAACGGAATTCCAAAGATGGACTGAACGCTGCGCGAAAGTGACTGCCGCGCGGAAGCAAGGCCGGGTAATGCCGCAACAACGAGAAACCGCAAATCGCACTGGAGCGCGGTTGCGGGAACAGCGGCGAGGGATCGAGCGCAACGAGGGAGTAACATTCAGAAGAGCCGGCTAGGAAATTCTGGCGCAATGTGTGGTATCTTGAGTCCTAAGCGCGATGGAAGACTGAACGCACAGAATTGTGGAAATGGTTCTGAAAGCGCAATGAAAGAAGTCGTCTCTGTAGGTGGGTGGTGGGTTGCGTGGAAAAACTTCAAAGTTCACAACAGCCGTGGTCTACCACGTGGCAGCCGGCTCTGAAAGGGCCCACAACACAGAGTCATGCAGAATATTTAACGACCCTCAAATACCGTTTTGAAACCAATTGTTAGTATCAGCCGTGAGTTACACACATAGCGAACTATTCTTTCGCCTTTTACTAAAGAATACCGTGTGTGTTCCTCGCTAAGCGGCATATTACTATTTTTGGAGTGCCCCGAAAGGGGCGCAACTATCCAATATTGAACTGGGATTTGTAACTATCACATTTGAACTGGGACCAAGGAAGACTTGATGTAAAAAGAAAGTGACATGCACTTGGAAGTACGTGAACAATCCTTGTATAGAACGACATAATTTTACTTCTTTAGACCTACAGCCTGGAGACATGTTAATACAGAGTCGATATTTCATATGCATTGATTCCAGCTTACATGCCCGTTCAGAAATGTCAAAACTGTAGCAAGATTGGCATATCTATGCAATTCGGGCTATTTAACTGCTACTAAAGCAATGCTATCTCCATCACTGCCGGAGGCGAGGTTTTACCGTCCTCTAATAGCTGCTGCTGCTGTTGCATACCACCCCCCCTCAAATCTAGGCTGCTGCTGGACTGATCGCAACCACATCAATGATATCAACCTCAGCATTTTCAGTGCCACGGGCACTGCGGTTTTTACCCCGGCTGCTACTGCTCTTGTCGCTGCTGCTGCTGCTGCTGCTGCCGCTGCTGGTGGTGCTGCTACTGCTTCCAGAGGCAGTGCTTTGCGCTCCTCTTGGGGATCCCCAGCCCTTGGGCGTCCACACCACATGGTGGCATCCCCTGCAGATTAACAGCTCGCGGCGGGGACCGATGAAGCGAACTCCACACGAGGGGCAATCACCCTGTAAAAGAGAGGTTGGAGCCCAAGAAATAGGCAGTCGGTGTGGAAAAAGAAAGTTGTGAGCAAACAAGAGTAGGCACGCAGGCGTGTTAAGGCAGGCAAGCAGGCAGGTGTGGAAATGGCTAGGGTTCAAGATCGAGCAAGCACCCGGCAAGGCCATAGGAACACATCATTCTGAGTTGCAGGCAACGGAGAGGAAGAAGCAGCAAACGAGCACCGGAAACCCTGAGCAAGGGGAAGTATATGAAGAGCAGAGCCAAGGGGACGTATATGAAGAGCAGAGCCAAGGGGACGTATATGAAGAGCAGAGCCAAGGGGACAGTACCTCAACGAAGGCTGCTTTGGCGAGAGCCCTAGCGAGCAGAGGGAGCAGCGGGACGATGCAGAGCGACCAGAGGAAGATCTGCGCGAGCCAGCCCGAGATGAGGAGCCACGCGAAAACGATGAACTGGCGAGGGAAGAGAAGGGGGAGTGTGAGGCGGATGTAGGGGAAGACCAAGAAGAGCAAGAGTAGCGACTGGGAAAAGCTTGGCAGCAGCGGGAGAATGCAGAGCGACCAGAGGAAGATCCGAGCAAGCCACCCCGGGATGAGGAGCCAGACGTTATGGATGAACTGGCGAGGGAAGAGAAGGGGGAGTGTGAGGCGGATGTAGGGGAAGGGCTGGGAAATGAGGCACAAAAATGAGGCGACAGAATGAAGGGAGTGGACGACGAGGAGAAGGGAAGGGGGAGATGGATCGAGAGGGGGAAACGGGAGGGAATGGGCTCCAGCGAGGGTGGGGAACGAAGATAGGACCAGCGTGGCCGTGAAAAACAAAAAGAAACAAACAAACAAACAAAAAAGAGAAAAAACAGAGGAAGGAATGGAGGAATGAGAGACAGCAGCAAGGGCCCAGCGAGAGACGGGGAGAGGCGGCCTACCATGGCGAGCTGGCCGGCAGGCGTGGTTCTGAACTCCCCCCACCGCTTCAAATACTGCAAGCACAGCAGACGGAAGTGGGATGTGGGATGGGGGCGGAGCGGAAGGGGGACGGACGGGGATGGGGGCGGAGCGGGGAGCGGGAAGCAGAGGCGGAAGGGGGACGGGACAGGGGGGGAGAAGACGGATATGAGTGGCTAACGGAGGCGCAACGAAGTGGCGGAAGGGGCGGACGGCGGAAAGTGGGGGGAAAGGAAAGTGCGAGAAACTCCAACGGGGTTCATCGTCGAAGGACGTTACAAAGTATCAGATTGTTAGGGTTACTCTGCCCAATGCTCAGGATTCCCCGGGAACACGGGCGACAAGGGAAGGGGCGGGTGTGTGGGGGTAAGGGGGGAGGGGCAACGAAGAAGAGAACGAGGTGCGGAGGGTGGGAGGAGAAAAGAACACAGCTTCTCTGCAATACCTTGGGTAGTTGGTACTGGATCTCCTTGATCACGTCTCGCATTCTTTGTCGAATCCGCCAGTTACAATCCGCATCATACGCCGCGCCCACCACTGTGCGTTTCATCTCCTCCACTCTACTTGAAACCCCGAACTGCGCGTCGAAACGAAACGCGTGTCGTTCCGCCTCGAACGCGACCTCCTCGAGCCGCTCGTTCGCCGCACCCACCGCCTCCCTCGCCTTTCCCCGCAAGTCGTTCTCCCGCTCAAACTCCGCCACCTTGCTCTGCGCGGAGCGCAAAGCCCCCGCCGTGCCGTCCGCCAGCTTCCGAAGGGCGACTTTCGACTGCTTCTTGGCGCAGCGGAAAGCGCGGGAAAGCTCCTCTTGAAGCTCCTCGGTGTTGATATTAAATGGCGGCTCGCCGGGACCCAACCCGGGCGCGGGAAAGTCGGCGGGAGAGGCGGCGGCGGCGGATGCAACGACGCGCGGAACGGCGGAGGAGGAAACGAGGCTGAGCCGGGGGGGAAGCGCGCGTGGGGGAAGCGGGGCGAAGGTTGGGGGAGCGGAGGGTGCGGATGACGTTTTTGTGAGGCGCAAGGATGATCCTTTGAACGGCGAGGCACAAGGCGATGACGATGATACGCCGGACTGCGACGATCTTAGCGAGAGCTTCGACGAGGTAATGGGAGACGGAAGGTCTAATCGCCCCGCCATTGCGTTCGACATGGCTGGAAGACCTAGTTAGGCTGGCAAAAGTGAAGAGTGGAAAGAGAGCGCTTATCGTCGAGCTAAGAACCGAAGGAGCCAACAATGCGGGAAAAAAAACGGTTTGGTGCGGAGAGTGCAGCGGCCGTCGTCAGAGGTATTATCCAGCCACGAGACGATGTAACTTGGACGAAGTTCCTGCCCTGCACACTTTACCTCCGCTTTGTCAGAGGTTCAAGAAACAAGCTAGGGGAGTCCGTGCAGGGTTCCATAAGGAATCAGTAGCTAACCAGACCATGCCAGTAGGAAACCCTCGGTTCTTTGCAGCGTGCGTGAACCAGAAGCAATCCAGCTTGCTTCAGCTCGCGAACTCTTGCTAGGTTTTGGGCACCCGTTGCGTAGTAGTAACCTCTATGTCGCCAATATTCGTCGGGCTTGTTTGTGGCGCGAACCTTCCTCCCCCGCGATTCCTAGAATCGCGATCCGAAAGTTGCCAATTACTGCTTAGCTAGCATGATCTACCAGTGGTCCAGACACGTGGTGTTCTGTAATGTCACTGGCAAAAACGCACTTCTGTCCACGTGAGCTTCCCCCACCAGCTATAAATCTGACTCCATTCGATCACTTGCACCAAACGTGGCGGATGTGCTGCGTGGACAGCGCGAGTACTGCCAGACAGATCTGAGAAAGCGTGTGAACCCCGTCATTGCACGTCACTCTGAGGATAATTGACGCAAGACTGGAACTGTGCGGTACGCTGGCCAACCTCGAATCCTCGATGTGCTCGAGCTTGCGTGGACGTGCGACTGAACGAGGTGTGCTGTGCCGGATCCAGTAATTTGACCACTCAGCGTTGCCTTGAGAGTCCACGTGGTGATGATCTAAAAACGCACACACAAATTACTCCTATATAAACCACTTCGTAGAAACGGTCGACTCCAAACAAATAGGTGCTCTATGCTGGGTTGTTCAATTAGTCCATATGAAGAATCACACGTTTGTTCAAATTATATAAGTTATAATTTAATATAGGCTTGGTAGGTTGTTACCGAACCTTTCTGTAGGGGGTACAAACCCCTCCTTGTACTCCTCTCTCTTCCTAATCCACTCTCTTCTTTCTCGTCACTTTTGCCTACTCCTAGATCTACTTGCCTCATGCCATTCCATGGCGTCCTTCCTTCCTACCTAGCTAAGCTAGGTTCCTAAGTTTAGTTAGTGTCCTAAGCTTCTCTGAGATGGTATCAGAGCAGGAGATCCTCCCTGTTGGACCGCCTCCTCACGCTTCCGCCATTTACTCCTCACCCTCATTCGCTCGAGCGGCCATGGCGGCCGCGTTTTGCTGCAGTGGCGACGTCGCGCTGCCACTGGCCGCGTCGTGCCGCGACCGGCTTGACGCGCTGCCGCGGAGTCGGGCCGTCGTTCTGCAGCCGCAGCGTCGACGTCCCGCTGCGGCATCGACGCTACCTCTGCCGTCGCGACGTCGACGTCCTGCTGCAGCGTCGACGTCGCTCTGTGACGGCGCCGTCGGGCCGTAGCCGGTTGCGCGACGCCTGTGACGCCGCCACCGCCCGCACGCCATCACGCCCACGACCTGTCGCGCCACACCGGGGGCTGCTGTCGCCCCGCCCCCTCCCCTCCCCCCCCCACCTGCACCTGCTTCTCCTGCATCCCCCCCCCTTTCTTGCTGCAGCCGATGACTGCCTCATGAGGGCCCTCTCCACCGCCGAGGAGACTGGACATGCCGCCAAGAGGGCGGGGGCCGCTGCACCGGCCTCTGACGTTCAAGCCGCCGCCGCAGCCGTTGTTGCCGCGGGCCTGGTGTCGCCGCACGCCGCCGACGCCGCTGTTGCCGCGGGCCTGGTGCCGCCGCACGCCGCTGTCGTCACTGTCGCCGCTGCCGCCGTTGCCATCTTACGGGCCGTGGGAGCTGCCCTCTTCCGGAGTCGTTGCGGCTCCTGCTGGGAATGGGGGTGCTGGGCTAGGGGGTGTGGGTGTGGGTGTGGGGGTGTGAGTGGGCTTGACACTACCAAGCCTAGGGGGTGTGTTCAAATTATATAAGTTATAATTTAATATAGGCTTGGTAGGTTGTTACTGAACCTTTCTGTAGGGGGTACAAACCCCTCCTTGTACTCCTCTCTCTTCCTAATCCACTCTCTTCTTTCTCGTCACTTTTGTCTACTCCTAGATCTACTTGCCTCACGCCATTCCATGGCGTCCTTCCTTCCTTCCTAGCTAAGCTAGGTTCCTAAGTTTAGTTAGTGTCCTAAGCTTCTCTGAGAATGTTTACATCAAACATAACATTCTGTGACACGTATATGCATGACGACCATTTCAAGGACACACTCATGCACTTTCTAGTAAATCCTTCGTACTTTTCATTACCAGTTTAAGGTTCAACTTTTCAGCTTTGCCAAACAACATTTGTTTATGGAAATTGTTGATCAAACCATATAGTCAAAGAGAGAGAGAGAGAGAGAGAGAGAGAGAGAGAGAGAGAGAGAGAGAGAGAGAGAGAGAGAGAGAGAGAGAGAGTCACACAGACTTCCCGAATCACTGGGGCAATATCGAGCTCGTCATTTCGCATGCTTCGCCACGGGAAAATGGGACAGAAACGTGGAATTTGTAACAATATATTTGTGTATGGTTAAAACACACGTCCCACCGGGCAATTGTGTGGTCGTTTCTGTTGTGGTATAATTCATACTTAGCATTTCTGTAAGTTGTTTATCGATAGATAGTGTCGAATCCCACTGTAGAAGATAAGTCCGTAGGATGACGTCAGCAAATAGCGCTCGTCATAGGACACTCGTTTCAGTCACGCGAATAGTCGCACCTCTTCATTATCGTCTAGGGCGCATAGCGTGATAGTGACGAACAGGTACATTAGCGAATAGTTACTTTCCTAGAGCTATAAATCTTTGTTGTGTCCTTTCGAGCACGTGGAGAGACAGATTATCAGTACGTGGATATTGACTTTCGAGCAACTACTATACCAACGGCTTCTCGAACTGCAGCCGTCGTACTTACCGCATTGGATACCTGGGAGTTCAGTACCGCCGATGCCGGCGCCAATGCTTGGCGAACATTTTACAATACTCGTGAGGCTCTTCAAGGGACTCCAACTCCACTTTGGGGAGAAATTAGTGGACTTGCAGCTGATGAACCTGACGTCATTGAAGAAGCCGAAAAGGAAGAAATCGTTGAGCAGCCGCGTCCAACAGTAGCTGTCGTAGGAACACCTGCCACAACATCAACAGAAGCAGCATAAGAAGTTGCAATCACAACTGCAGCAGCACCTTCAAATGTTCCGTTGCCACTTACACGTTTTGTTGAAGGAGAAATTGACAGGTCACCAGCGCTTTCTCCTTTTATCATCTCTTCATTCTATACTAACGCCGATTTCTACCTGCGATCATTAGGACACGAAGCCACAGAAGATATCTGGCATCAGCGGTTAGGACATCCGTCGCAAGGGATTTTAAATCATTTAATCCGCGCAGCAGTTCTTGATAAAAACAGTCTACTTTTCTGATGGCACGGAGATGAAGCCGCAGTCTCGTCCGACGGTTTGCACCACGTGTCCGGTCGCCAACCTTACTCACGATCTTACCCATTTGCAACTGACGAAGTCGAAGCTGATGTAAAGAACGAGGTCGTTTCTGAAGCTTCCGAAGCTGCCGCAACTGACATCCCCGAACCTGTCACCTCGACCGGCATACCGGAATTTATTCCTTTGCAGATGTTGACCAGGATGATGTTCGCGAAGTCCACATCAGTTACGAACGCGATCGCCAACAGGAGCCGATGCCCGCGGTCTTCGACGAAGCATTACGTGTTACACCTGACGAAATTGGGGGGGAAGAAGGACCAGAAGAAAATTTCGCAGGTGCAAACGAAGAACGTCCGCCTTTTTACAGAAATAGGATTACAGATACTAGGATTTGCAGTAGCAGTACAGTACAACGACAGTAAGATACCTGAACCGAAAACCATTCGACAAGCTCTTACGAGTCCTCACCGAGAAAAATGGCGTGAAGCCATGGACAGAGAGCTAGCAGCTCTCAAGAATCGTGGCACATGGGATTTAATACCGACATCAGAAGTAAAAGGGAAGAAGGTACTTACCGGAAAATGGGTCTTCCACGTCAAAACTAATGCCGATGGGTCATTCGAGAAGTTCAATGCGCGATGGCTCGTCCGCGGATTTGAGCAGACTTACGGCATCGACTACGAACTAAATTTTGCTCCTGTCGGTCGACATACAAGTGTTCGGAATTCTACTTTGTGTCGCCGCCTGCTGTAATCTACGACTTCGACAAATCGACGTGGCAAATGCATTTCTCTATGCACCCGTCGACACACTCATACTGGTAGAGTACCCACGTTTCTATGCTACTAACCCACCGAGCGTATGCCGTCTCCGAAAATCGCTATACGGGATTAAACAGGCACCCTGGCTCTGGCAACAGTACCTACACTCACAACTTATCGCTGTCGGATTTCGACAACTGCCGCATGATCAAGGAATGTATCTTCAAACTGACGGCAGCAACTATATTTTACTCGTCGCCTACGTCGACGATATCCTCTACGTCAGTACTACCGATTCCTTTGCCGATACCTTCATACTGAAACTACAGAAAACTCTACAGCTTACCGTCTCCGAAACAATCTCACCGTTTCTTGGTTTAAACATTACTGTTCACCGACGTCTATTCACCTCACCACTTCGAAGTACGCAGCGACACTCGCTGCCCGCTTCAACCTCACTCCTACCGCAGTCTCTACACCATCCCGCTCACTACCAACTGACCACAAACCGAACACTGCACCATTAAGTTCAACTGGTTTATAGATCTATCAACAGCAGTTAGGCTGTCTACTCTTCGTCGCTGTCACTTGTTGTCCCGATCTAGCTTACGCGGCCAGTCAGCTTGCTCAGTTCCTACGCCGACCTGAAGAAGAACATCAACTCGATCTTCTTCATGCGCTTCAGTATTTTATCTCGACACCTGACGTCGGTTTCGTCTACAACGTCATCGGTTGCAAAACACTATACCTACACGGTTTCGTCGACGCCGATCACGCGACTGACTCTACTAATCGACGGTCGCGCACTGGGTTCATCTACCGGCTTGAACCTATCGGACCTATTTCTTGGAATTCGACGAAGCAGGAGTTGATTGCTCTCTCCTCTGCTAAAGCTGAATTTATTGTTGTCTGCACAGCAACACGCGAAGGACTTTACCTGCAGAAACTATTGGAAGAAGCGAAGTTGACAACCACTACCCAGTTTACCCTGCAGTGCGACAACCAAAGTGCAATTCGCATCGCGCATCAGCCTGGCTTTGTCAACAGGACGAAACATATCTCTCTGCGTTACTTTTTCGTCAAGGATGAAGTCGAGAAGGGGAGAATGCGATTGGTCTATTGTTCGACCAACGAAATGGCTGCCGATTTCCTCACGAAGAAGCTGACATGACAGAAGTTTCAGTACTGTAACAAGCTTTGCGGGATCTTCAAGAAGTGACTCTATTGGAATTCCACAAATGAAGGGGAGTGTTGTGGTATAATTCATACTTAGCATTTATGTAAGTCGTTTATCGATAGATAGTGTCGAATCCTACTGTAGAAGATAAGTTCGTAGGATGACGTCAGCAAATAGCGCTCGTCATAGGACACTCGTTTCAGTCTCGCGAATAGTCGCACCTCTTCATTATCGTCTAGGGCGCATAGCGCGATAGTGACGAACAGGTACATTAGCGAATAGGTACTTTCCTAGAGCTATAAATCTTTGTCGTGTCCTTTTATTATTAACCTTGAGATTTTAACTTTGAGAACTTTGAGACTTGACTTTCCACAGAAATATACACTCAGGTTCACTCTTACAAGACTTCCCCCTGTCTTTCTAGTCTACCATTCCAGTAAATATCCTAGGCTAACACTTGAGGTTTTCCAAGTGTTCGTGTTTGCAGATTCTACACTTAGTCTCCTGCAATACCTGTCAAATTATTACAGTTTCGATCCGCCCTCCATTAATGTGTGGTGGATTCGGTAGCTGTGTGGTGTACTGTAGATTGTTAAAAGACTAGGCTAAGAGGAACGGAAGGAAGCTATGGAATAGCGTAAGGGTTTAGGAGCTAGGAGAGAAGTTGACGAGAGAAAAGAGAGAGAACTAGAAGAGAG